CTGTGTGGAAAATACTGCACACCTAAAAGCACAGTCGTCAGATCTAGGCTGTCTGACAAATAATGGCAAGTGACACAAGGTACCATCCATGTTGACTGATCCACATGTCAACAGTCACACTAACAGCTGAAGTCTGCTTCATTTCTGCCGAGGCCTTCTCTTTGGTTACAGTGTACCTTACTTCCACCATTGCCTTTACAGTATTGAGGCTTGGAATGGAGTATGATGGGCCCAGGATTTTAATAACATTTTGGAGCCCTTCATCCTCAACGATAGAAAAAGGCTTTAACTATCATATCCACTAAAGCCTCATCCAGCATGTGTTTTCTGGACACTGTGTGGGAGAAAGGTTACTATATGAATATGATACACAACATCTACAGTAAATAGACACATACACATATACAGTATATATACAAGTATATTTAACTTGCTGTCAGAATTTCCAGTGTTGACAGAGTCACTGGTTTGCTTGATATGATTGTCATTATGCCTGGCACACAAGTGTCTTTGTTAATGAGACGTTTTGCCTCTAGAAGGCAGATGTTTGTGCTGGCTTGGTTGGTAGAATGGACCAACTGGCTGGATACAGAACCAGTATATACTCGACAAGCACATCTCACTTGTATGGCAGGGTAAGAGTTGAGACAGGATCACATGTTAGGTGAAGAGGGGGCTTCAAGATGGATGAGGCCTGTGAGGTAGGTAAGCAAGGAGGGGGGGGGGGGGGGGGGGCTTCAAGATGGTCAAGGATTGTATTGTATGCTTAGATTTTTTTTAAAGGATTGGAAGTAGTATTAGTATTATATTAGTATTAAAATAAGGTAAGAAATGGGGTCAGACAGGCTCACATATAGTCAAGTTGGACTAGACCACTCTACCTTCTGATCCTGTTCAAGGTAAAATGCAGTTCTTATATTGATTAACCCCGTTTTCAAGATTTCAGTGTCTAATTTTTGTTTGTTTGGTTGTTTCCTCCAGTTGCTTAAATCCACTCCATGTTTAGCACAAACACAACTCACTTTTATGGCAGGGTAAGAGGGTCAGACAATAACACTGTGCCCACACAGACACTGGGAGAGTGTGGAAACTGCACACAGGAAGGCCCCATCCACTGCAGGAATAGAACCCGGGACCTGCTTGCTCTGTGATGATGGAGCTAACTGCTGCGCCTTATTGCAGTTCTCATGAGTGACCTGTTTTCTTATTTCCAGGTTGTGTATGAAAATGTGATAATCTGTTTAATTTTCAAGATTTGTGGCTGTAATTTCTGTGCATGTTTGTTATGACTAACTACTAACGCACTACTAACACTAACCGCGCACAAACACTGGGCGATGGGTTTAATCCAGCCACAAAGGGGCAGTATGTCCCCTTTGTACCAGTCCCCAGCCTGGACAAATGGAGAGGGTTGTTTCAGATAAAACCTGCCTCTGCTGTTTGTCTATCTTTAATTTGTTCTCTGTGTAAAATTATGAACAATGCATCTATTTGTGTGACTTGGCAAACTTGGTCCTTCCTCAAGTTACACTTGTCAATAATAAAACAGAAAAAAAAATACTGAATAGTACGTCAATGCCAGTGAAACCTTTTTCTCACAGGCAGGTTTACAGGACAAAAGTGTGTTTCCCAATTACCAGGCTTCCTTGGTTTCTGAACCACTTCAGATCCACGTCATCAGAGCTCCAGAAAGTGCTGGTCCAATCGTCTCAAAGCCTTTGTGTCCTTCTCACATGACCACTCTGTTTGGTTCTTTACCAAGGATGCACGGGTGAGGATCATGAATCTACAATAAAAAAAAGTTTTTATTATAGTTCTAAGGTGGGGATCCTTATCTGCCTCGGAGCACTGAAAATGACCCACAATTCACCACAACTTCATTTTTTACTCACTTTATTTAAGCAGTAAAATGCATTTGAATAAAATTAAACTAAAGAAAATGTTGCTATTTTAGCCACATTGCTGCAGATAACACTATTATCAGATTGAATTAAATTAGATCAAAATCTTGAGTGGATTGTTAATACATCTGAAGATGTTTCAGCCTGTGTATTTATCAATATAATTATCAACTCTATACGAGGATTCACTTAGCCTTTATTATGCATATGTTTTAATGCAAAAACCTGAACACTTCATATTTGTAGAAGCATTAATGTCTTTTAAAAGGGTTTTGTTGCTCTGGAGCCTGTTCCAGGTGCGGTCATGAGGTGCTGTGAGCAGGATACTTGGCTCTGCTTCGGCGGAGAGGATTCTACAACGTGGTCTTTGGAGGAAGGATCCTGGGAATTGAGAAACCCCCTACAAGAATCAGTGTCTAACACCATGTGATTCAATGTAAAGCCTGTCTCCTCTGGTGTAACATGTCATTCACTTAACGTATTTTGTGAGGGAACTTCAGAGGTCGCTATATTAAAAGGGAACTTCTGGAGGTCAGTAGTTAAACATCTCACAGACGATGAGGGACACTGGGTGATGTTAATTACTGATACTAATCAGGTACAGTGTATTTTGATAAATGTCTATGCAGCTAACAAAACAGTAAATGCTTTGTTATTTTCAACTGTTGAAACAAAAATAAGGTAATCAAAATTTCCTTCAGCCAAAATCATTTGGGGTGTGGATTTAAATCCCTAAACCCAAAAAGGATAAACAAAATATAGAAAACTGGAGGCCAGTCACCCTGTTAAACAATGATGCAAAAATATTTGCATCAATCTTTGCCAAGAGGCTTAAGTCAGGACTGGAGGTGCTCACTGTTGAAGAACAGTCAGGTTTTGTAACAGGTAGAAGTATCAAATAATGTTAGACTCATGTTAGACCTGATGGACTATAATAACTATATAAAAGAGGACAGTCTTCTTTTATTTGTAGATTTCTATAAGGAGTTTGACACGGTCACTCACCAATTTATGATAAAAACTCTGGAAACATTTCCCTTTGGAAAGCTTTTTTTTTTTTTTTTTTTTTTTTTTTTTGCTGCTCCAAACACTATACAAAGACTGTAATAGCTCTGTCAAAATGTTTTATGGAACATCTCTCAGGATCAATATCAAATGAGGAATAAACAATGCTGTCCAGTCAGTCCCTTTCATTTTTACTTGTTGCACAAGTAACTACTTGTTGATGGCCGTTCATATCAAAAGGACTGATATTCGGAGTATCTCGGCTTTCGACAGAGAATCAGCAGATGATACATCTATATTTTTGTATACCTGTGGAGAGCAGTGAGCTTCTTTTGCCACTTCAGTCCAGTTTCAGTCCAGTTTTTCATACCTGAGGCTCTTTCCTGAATGTCTGCCACTGTGATAGTGACTGGATTCTGTTCAAGGAGGTTGACAATAAATTACCACTACACCACCACAACACCATCAGCTCACCAAAACTACACCACCACAACACCATCAGCTCAGCAAAACTACACCACCACAACACCATCAGCTCAGCAAAACTACACCACCACAACACCATCAGCTCAGCAAAACTACACCACCACCACCACTACATGGACACTACATTACTTAATATTCACAATTTAACCTTAGTGGGATTTTGAGGGGGATTTGCTGAACTATATATTTTTGGAAAGGTTATAGTATATGGAGTCAGAAAATAAGTGTTTACAGATGTCTATATGGCGGTCATATTGAAGTTTTAATAATGGTCACCGTAAATGTAAAAATTCTAGTATCTTGACTGCTGAATAAACTGAAATGTTGATTTTTACTGCTAAACCCACATCGTAAGGGTCAAGGAAACCAATGGTGCTAGTTACACATCATTATTATTAAGTGTGTAGTGTGTAAATGATTACAAAGACACACATTGCAGGCTTTCTAGAATGGATGGTGAGAGTGATACATACATAAAGTAGTTCCTGTTGAAAGATTTTATTTACAGTGATGTTTTGAGCCAATAGCTCTTCCTCAGACTTGTTATATCAGAAAAGTGTGATCCTTAAGAGCATTTACAGAGCATCTAACACATGAACAGTGAGTATTATCTTTGTTTTAACTCAGAAGATATGTCATATATTTGAAGAACATATTTAAACATATAAAACTACAGCTAACCAGCTAATATTACCATATAGTATGTGTCACATATCACTTTGGCTCCTCAGACTTCTGATTTATTCAGTGAGTAAAAAACACTAAAGTTAGCTATCTCCACTTGTATATACAGTCTATGTTGTCTGAAAGTGATGATGATGATGATGATGTATAGAAAATGTCTAATTTAAAAGGTCATAATCAAAATCAAAATCATATTGTGTCTAAATGTTTGTTGACATTCAACATCCACATTTTATGTGAGCTACTTTTAAACTCTGAGTTATCTGACCAGCTGCATGTGATGTTTATAGTTTGTTTTACCAATGTTGTTGATGTATTTCAACAGGATAATAAAAAAAACCAAACAAACATGTTTTTGGAGGAACATGGAGTATTACATGTGAATATTACAATGAAATTACAAGAAAACAACCACACCGGGTCATTTTTGACCCACTTATTCATCTAAGGGTTAATGTGGGTAGGTCTTACAGCTTTGTAACTAGCACCATTTGATTCCCTGACCCTGAAAATGTGGGTTTAACACTTAAAATCAACATTTCAACTTATTCAGAGGCTGAAATAATTCAGAGCTTTTTGGCAGCCATTTTAAAAAATTCAATATGGACATCTAAGCAAATGCAAATATTGATTTTCTGACTCCATATACTATAACCTTTCCAAAAATATATACTTTAGCAAATCCCCTGAAAATTCCCACAAAAGTATTTAAGGAACCGGACTATTACCTCCTGTATCCCCACTGAACTGTGTTTTTCTATCTAAGTTTTCTGTCTTTTTTTGTTTTGTTTTTTTTAATTGAGGGTTGTTTCTCAAAAAGGACCCAATTTTACATAAAAAAAAAAAAAAATCTAAATCAAATGGATAAGAGATAATAACTTTTAAATGAGCACTAGTTGTGGTTTCATAAGACAATTACACAACTGCATTTGTAAGATATGTTTTATTAACAAGCAGATAATAAAATATATATCCCCATTCATAAAAGCATTCAGTAACAGTCTTTGGGTTGAATATCAAGTGAAAAACATACAGTACAACTTTAAAAGCCCCTGTGCCTTGTAACGCACACATGATTTATGGAAGACATTTAATAGCAGATTAAATACATGTTAAAACACCTGTCTATACAGACATATCAGAAACAACACATCATTTATTGCACACAAAATTGCTTTTCACAATAATGATAAACTAGGAAAGGGCACTTAAGTTTTCCTAAGTGTAGTGAGAGCAGCAGAGTGGACTCTGGTCCCGTCTGAGGAAGTCCTGTCATGTTCAAACACATGAGAGTCATGAGACTGTATCAAAACATCAGGATCTTTCACCTCCATCTTCAGGGAACTACAGCAATCACTTTGCTCAGGGATCCTGAGAAATGGCTATGCTCCAGCTGCAGAGCTTCATCTGCAGAGCCAGGTGGCCTGGGTCAGCCTGTGGTCTTCAAAGGGGAGGGATGGAGGGGAGGAGTTTTAGCCATGATCTTCAGGGGAGAACTGGGGTGGACATAGTTGGCATTGTGGGAAAGTCCATGTACCACAATCCTACAAAAGATCCCTAGTGATTCTAGGACCTGGCCTTTCACAGGATGATCGCTACTCTCATGAAAAATCCAAACTTCTAAAATTGAACTATTATAATATGACAAATGGTGTCATCTTTAATTCAACAAGGACACTTGTAGTAAAATGTGTCCTTTGAAAACATTGCTATGGATGTACATAGCTTATATTTTTGGTGCAAATTCATGTTTTAGCATTGCACAATATTTAAAAGGGGCTTTCCAATCTGACCCTGTCCAGGATTAGAATGTTTATGCAAACCACATTTAAAGAAGTAACAGTCCCACTGGCCCCAGCCCCCAGCCCCCGTGCAGTGTCTGGGTTTGTGGCCTGGAGGCTGGGGCTCAGATGTTCTCTGCGTGGGGCACCTCGCGAATGCTATGCTGCAGGGTGGTGCCTCTACCAGTGGGTTTCCTCCGGATGCTGCGTCCAGAAGAGATGAGGTCTGCGTATCCGCGGGAGTGGGAAAAGGCATAGGCTGATCTGCGGGAACGTCGGCCTCTTTGGAACACCGGTGCCTTCTCTCGCTCCTCGCGCTCTAGCTCCTGCTCATACTTCTTCCTGTTCTTCTGGACCTGCACCACATAACAGCAACAACATTTGAATATTAAGGCTGTGGTGCTTTAGTCATTTAATTGGTCAATGGTGTCGACCAAAATTTATATTAGTCAACTAATCATTTTATTTAGATTATCAGGATTTCTATGGGACAACAGCAGAAAGGAGAAGTGAGTGAGTAGGTTAGCAGATCATTTGGAAATGAATCCTTAGTTTAATCTGCATATTTTTTACATATAAATACAGTAGTGCCTAGTACTTTTCTGTATAATTAATTTTTGCATGAACTCCCATGCAGGGGTAGTCTTGTGAGAAGGAATGCAATCATGCAGGTTTCTCCAATACCGATGTCGATACTTTAATTTTACATATCTTTCAATACCCGATATCAACCCATACTAGGGCAGAGACTGAAAATGGAAAATTTATTTCTATAAACACAAACAGCATACAGTAAAAAGTTATTTAAAGTAACTACAGAACAGCTTTGAAAAAATACAAGTTCCTAAGTTGTTTGGGCAAACATTGGCCAGTAAATCATCAGTTCACATTTTCATCTATAAATTGGAGGAAGATATCAAACCATCCATCATAATTTTCAAAATCAGCATCAATATCCTACACCAGAATCATAATGTTGCATCTCTACTTGCAAGTGCAGTTTGGGTCAGATACATAGATATACATCATAGTTTTGAGAGCTTTTGCCATGGCTCCTTTTTAGTTGACTAATCGATCTGCAGCACACGTCAACATTAGTCAGTCAGTTTTTTGATACATTCAGAGACAACTCAAACAAAGCACATTAGCTCCCTTTTACAACTATTTAGAAACTGACTGAACTTCAAAAATGTATTTTTTCAGGTTAGCACTGGGCTCTGAGCTCACCTTGTCCCCAACTGAGGGCCAGATGGTCTTGTAGAGAAACTGGATGCAGATGACGGGCAGCAAGCTCATGCCCACGGTGAGGATGATGGTGAGCCACAGGTAGGGCTGTCGCAGCGCGTTGGATGCCGCTCCTGCACACAACACAGCACATGACGCTAAGCCTTCAGCCTGTCTAAATTCTTTAAGAGGGGGTGTTTTACTTCTATGGGGAATTAACTGTAACATTTAGGCCCCGTACACACTAGCTCATGTTCGAGTCTTTTTCGTTACGGATGCAGTGTTCGTCCACACTAATCCGATGGAAAACGGCTCCAGAGACGGAACGACCTGGTGCCTCCAGCTCGCATGAATTAATCTGAGTACAGATCTGGGGCCTCATTTATAAAGCATTATCTACGCCAACCACGGTATTTATGAAACTCGTCTTAAGCGTGGCGCTTTGTTTATCTCTACGCCAATTCAGGACATCCTGTAAAGTTGTAGGAGGGAGGCTTTGGTTTAATGAACGCAACTTTAACACGTTTACTTTAGTCTTTACGCCCCGAGCCGCAGAGTGACCCGAGTCTGCGCATGACACGAAGCCTACTGTCCAAACCTGACCAGAACCCAAAATATTCCCTAAATTTTTGTGTAACGGGGAGCTCTTGCACCTGAGAGCTGCTCTCTGACAGTATGAAGACCACAATAATGTCTGTGCCCGTCCCGACCCAACCCCACACTCACAGAGGTCAGCCCCGCACTCACAGAGGTCAACCCCGCACTCACAGAGGTCAACCCCGCACTCACAGAGGTCAACCCCGCACTCACAGAGGTCAACCCCGCACTCACAGAGGTCAACCCCGCACTCACAGAGGTCAGCCCCGCACTCACAGAGGTCAACCCCGCACTCACAGAGGTCAGCCCCGCACTCACAGAGGTCAACCCCGCACTCACAGAGGTCAGCCCCAGCCCGCGCACTCAGAGGTCAGCCCCAGCCCGCGCACTCAGAGGTCAGCAGTTTGGATGTTTCGTGTGGACTTTTATTGGCAGAATAACAGCACTTGATTTGTATCTGATGTGTATCCCTCCTTTGCTCTCCAGGGGAGGGCATCTCAATCTCTCGCACGCACTCATAATTTGACATATATATGTATGTGTGTGTATGTAATTATATATATATATATATATATATGTGTGTGTGTGTGTGTGTGTATATACACACACACACACATATATATATACATACATACATACACACATACATATATACATCATATACATACATACATATATATATATATACATACATACAGGACCAGTCCACACAGACTAAATATAGCTATAAAACTCTTAAAACAACAAGAAAACTATTACTTTTATTACAATTGCTTTACTGCAAAGATGTGCTGCCTAAATATTATGAAATACTATTAAATTAACAGATGAGTCATTGTTGTCACTTTTACTTTTATGTTTATTTGTTAAACCTTGTTTAAGTCTTTGTTGTGACGAGGGATGAGCATGATTAGTCGATTAATCGATAATTGATCAATAAGAATTTCATGGAATATGTTCATTTTAATCGACAAACCGAATGTAGGTTGCTGTGCGTAGCGTAGCGTGACCAAACACCTGTGTCCGGGGACAAACATGGGCCTGTACATGTGTCTCTCTGCACTCAGAAGGAGCGAGTAGACACTCGGTCAGCCTGTAATGTGCCAAAGCGCAAATGCGTATTTAACAATGAATTGTACAAAAAATTCCATGCTTTCCATTCTGGTCAGGACAAGTGTGAGGCACAGTGTACAAAGCAGCACATATGTTTCGGTGTCCAGTGGGAAAAAGCACCAGGACACCGAAAACATGAAAAGGTTTTGCCAGGTGAGAGTAGTGCAATGTCGATGACGAGGCCCCACCCCCCGTACGGTGTCCTGGTTTTGACAAACGCAAATATGGTCACATGAACCTGTATTCCATTGAGTCATGTTGCGTAAGAGCTGTTTTTTTTTAATTCGCTTAGTTTATGCAAATTAGCCATACGGTTTTAAGTTTTGTTTCTGTGAGAGTTGCACAAAGCTGCATTAAACACATAATCTCAAACGGGCTGATGTGGCTCTAGAGTGGTTATGATTTATATGTTGTAAAGTTGAATTTATTTATGCAGATTAGTAGTGCAGATAGTAATAATAATGATGTTAATTTTAATATAAAAAAATGTTAATGATTAATTGATAATCAATTGTTAATTCTCTCGACGATCGATTAAGAAAATTTAATCGAATGCCCATCCCTAGTTGTGATCACGTGGTGCTGCGTGGAGCGTCCTCCTCCCTCTGTCCCGCGTGTCTCTGTCAAACCCACTGATTATCGGCTCATGTTTATTGAAATCTCATTCACCAGTCACTTTACATGCTCCTTTTATGGTGAGGTGGAGGTGTGGAGAGGACGTGGTCTGTTCTTTTATGGTGAGGTGGAGGTGTGGAGAGGACGTGGTCTGTTCTTTTATGGTGAGGTGGAGGTGTGGAGAGGACGTGGTCTGTTCTTTTATGGTGAGGTGGAGGTGTGGAGAGGACGTGGTCTGTTCTTTTATGGTGAGGTGGAGGTGTGGAGAGGACGTGACGTGACATGGGTTTACGTGCGCAAATTCTAGCTGCTATAAAGCACAGATTGCGTGGTTTAGTGCGTGCGGTGGGTTTTCTAAATATGGAGTTTGCGTGGCGCACGCCTCTCGTGGCTACCAGACGTAAGCACTAACTTACAACAACTCCTGTGCAGTTTTTTTATAAATGAGACCCCTGATCCAGCAGTGTGTGCTGGCCTGAAAACGCTGATACGCTGTCGTAGGTCAATGCACCGCGAAGTAGCTAATTCACCGCCAAAACACTAAGACACTAGCATATATTCATATGTACGGTCTGTGTGTACGACCTGCAGACATATAATCTCTGAAAAGTTTCACATGAACCATCTCAGAACAGACTCACCATCAGCAGAACACCCCTCTGTCACAGAAAGAACACATCCAGAAAGACTCACTGAGTAGTGTCCTTTAGTCTGACAGAAGCTGAACTGCATCAGTGCACAATAGTGAGCTGTTTTTTGAGCGCTCAGTTTATGCAAATTAGTCATGTGGTTTTAAGTTTTGTTTCTGTAAAACGTAAACAAATATGCTCAAAGCTGTGTGAATAAGGAAGGCCTGCGGACACAGAAATGACGTGTGTGGATGCAGATCGTTTCCGATACAGTGATACAGTGATATGTGGATTCGTTTCGGTGTAAACGGGGTCTTAAATCACCATGTTACCTTTTATTGTTTCGAAAATGCTATATCCGCTGAAAACAACAATAACATTTGACATTTGTTTTTCAAGCTCTGAGCCCCTCCCTTTGCTACCCACATTAAGTTACTGTCCCTTCAGAGTGCTACCAGAACACAATCTGCTATTGAAACTACTGCACACATCAGGTCTGCCAACTTGCTTTGCATAATCCTTTTGTATATTCAATGAATTATGGAAAAGGCTGAACATTGCACAGAATCTTACAGCCAACTGTACAGAGGGTTTAAAGAGGGCCCTGGGCAACTTTCTTAAATACATGTTTTTGATGAAGGAACAGTATTACATAATGGTAGAAATCTCAAAAAAAGAGAAAAGATTTTGCACAATACGCCCTCTAGTAACAAGTGTTTGAGTGAGTGGGACTAACCGGTAAAGGTGAAGAAAGCGGGGAAGATGACATGGATGCCAGCACTGTGGATGTCAAACATGATCCCAAAGTAGATGGCAATGCTGCCCAACACGGCAAAACAGTTGACAAATGTCCAATAGGAAGTATCCAGAGAAATCTGAAACCCAAAAGAACTCTGTTAATGTGCTTTATGGACTAGAGCAGTGAGTGCTCTCCACAGAGCACATGTGATAATCAGGGAGATCTGCGCGCTCGTGCACGCATGCACGACATTTTTCTATTTCTGATTTAACATGTTATTTTTTTATACAAGTGCTTATTTTAGAAAGTTTAAATGCTGCATGTTAATAAAGACTGAAGATACATTAAAATGATAAATTGGAAACAAACCTTTATCATTGTTTACAGGTAGCCTGGGCCTAAACAGGTTTGTACCTGGGTGCTTATTACTACACCAGCTCTCATTAGTTATTATATATTTATTATAATAATAATTATATATTATTTATTAGTTTGGAACATTACCACAATCAGAAGAAAATAGCGAATGGCAAAGTCTGTGGGCTAAATTAGATTTTACATTTCACTCATAAATAGTTGTTTGCTTTATCTACATTTTTTATAATGAGGACAGTCTGCTGCTTAAAATGTGTTTTTTTTAATGCCAAATAAAATATCCAGTGCAAATTATGCATGATATGCTTGAATCATTTGTATATTTTACTTTAGACTCATATTTAGTTTGTGGGAATGCAGTTTATCATCCCACCTGCCCACTGCTGCGTTGTGCAGTCGTGCTCCCCCCCGCGCCCGCAGTGAGCTTTCAAAATGTGTCCCGGACCAGAGTGGTGACCTCTCTTTAACACCACGCACTCTTACTGCCACACAATTGGCTTTAGACTTTCCCATTAAAATGTGCCTGCCTTATGATCAAGATCAAAGTACAGATTGGTTAAATCACATTTCCTGCAACTCACACATCAGAAATTGTGGAGGCAGAATACAGTCCCAGACCTAAACAAAAGTTTTGGGCTGGCTAGGCAAAATAAGCTAGGCACTGGCTTTACCTCACTTCATGGAGTAGAACATGGTTGTTGAAGTTATCAGCTAATGGGCCTTTAAACCCTGTCTAGTTTGAACTACTGTATATACAGTACCCTGCAGTGCAACCCACCTGTAGATTGACGATGAAGATGAGGGAGGATGCAGTGACCACAGCGAAGGACTGGTAGTCCGAGGGAGCCTCCCCGTCCTGGCCCATGGTCTGTAGAAAGGCTCCGTAGGGGATGAAAAAAATAAGCAGAGACACAAAGATGCCATGGAACAGACTGACGAAGAAGTTCTTGTAGTTGAAGAGCGAGCCTTGCTGGCCGGGCAGGTATAGTTTGGGAAAACGCAGACTTAACTTATCGTTAACATCCTACAAAAGAGAGAGCATGTAGTGAGCGTTCAGTAAGGTCTTGCTCATGAACATGAAGAGGGTCTGACCTGGTCCAGAAGGCCCACCAGCAGCACAGGTAAACTACTGTAGCAAAGGTTATACAGAGTGATGAACCAGTCTTCATATGCCACCTGGAACACACACACATCAGGGCCATGAGAGGGTGCAGGAGAGAGGAGTCAGAGGAGAGAGGAGTCAGAGGAGAGAGGAGTCAGAGGAGAGAGGAGTCAGAGGAGAGAGACAGCGGAGAGAGACAGAAGAGAGAGGAGACAGTGGAGAGAGACAGAGGAGAGAGACAGTGGAGAGAGGAGACAGTGGAGAGAGGAGTCAGAGGAGAGAGGAGACAGTGGAGAGAGGAGTCAGGAGAGAGGAGTCTGGAGAGAGGAGTCAGAGGAGAGAGGAGTCAGGAGAGAGGAGTCAGGAGAGAGGAGTCAGAGGAGAGAGGAGTCAGGAGAGAGGAGTCAGAGGAGAGAGAGTCAGAGGAGAGAGGAGTCAGGAGAAATGAGTTAGAGGAGAGAGACAGAAGAGAGAGGAGACAGTGGATTAAGGAGTCAGGAGAGAGGAGTCAGGAAAGAGGAGTCAGAGTAGAAGGGAGTCAGTGTAGAGATGAGTCAGGAGAAATGAGTCAGAGGAGAGAGTCAGAGGAGAGAGGAGACAGTGGAGAGAGGAGTCAAGAGAGAGGAGTCAGGAGAAATGAGTCAGAGGAGAGAGTCAGAGGAGAGAGTCAGAGGAGAGAGACAGGAGAGAGTCAGAGGAGAGAGACAGGAGAGAGACAGGAGAGAGACAGGAGAGAGACAGAGGAGAGAGTCAGAGGAGAAATGAGTCAGAGGAGAGAGACAGAGGAGAGAGACAGAGGAGAGAGTCAGAGGAGAAATGAGTCAGAGGAGAGAGACAGAGGAGAGAGACAGAGGAGAAATGAGTCAGAGGACAGAGTCAGAGGACAGAGTCAGAGGAGAGAGACAGAGGAGAGAGACAGAGGAGAGACAGAGGAGAGAGACAGAGGAGAGAGACAGAGGAGAGAGACAGAGGAGAGAGACAGAGGAGAGAGACAGAGGAGAGAGGAGACAGTGGAGAGAGCACATCTGAGTATGGGGGCACTGACTTGGGAGGAGTAGCCGCTGAAGAAGGAGTACCAGAAGTGGACCAAGGTGAAGGCAAAGTTCTTGAAGAAGAAGAAGCGCAGGAACTTGCACATGCGGATGTAGGACCAGCGGCCGTGCACCAGCAGGAGACGCTGCAGGTAGCGGAACTGGGCAAATGCATAGTCACTGGACATGACAGCCTGCATGCCCTCCTGCCCGCTAATGCCCACGCCAATGTCTGCCGCTACAGGAAATAGGATAAGTCAGTGGGCTGAGATAGAGAATGTCATTGTCTTATTTACTTCTATATGGTATTCACTGTTGTCACATAGCATATTTATATCACCATGTTGCCTTTTATTGTTTTGAAAATGCTATATTTGCCCAATATAACAAACATGTTTCATAGGTTTCACATTTTCAGTTTCTGGCACTCTGAGTCTCTTCTTCCCTTTGCTCCTCGTGTCACAACACAATCAGCGGGCATCCTACTAATGCAAATACAATTTTGCATAATACCCCTCTTTAAGAATGAAACATTATGGATAGAAGATGGTGACTTTGTGTTGTGTGATCCAAAAGTGTATTTAGCTTTGAGTAGAGGACACATTTTTCAAACATGTGGAAAAACATGAGATTAGGACTAGATTTAGTTCCGTTTCGTTTCTGGGTTGGGGCTGTACTATAAAGCTGAAATGAATGGTTCATATAAAAAGTGGGATGATACAAAAACACAAAATAGTGTTTAGCCTTGATTCACACAGTTAGGTGGTTTTCATATGACACAATCACTGAGCTGCAATAGAGCCTGAATGTGGCTGGTACTTTTAATCATGTTGACATCATTGGCTCCATCTCCGATGGACAGGGTCACGGCCTTCTTGTACTTCTTCACCAGACTGACTACATTGGCCTTTTGCTTTGGAGTGACACGACAGCAGATGACGGCCTCACACTCACACGCCATGTCCACAAAGTCGATCTGAAACACACGAGTAAGGGGTTAACGCTGGACAAAACTAAAGAGTTTCTCTTCTCATAAGCCTGCTCCAGAAGATTGGACTACACTCAATGAGTGGCTCCATATTACTGCTGGTGTCAGATGCCCTGTGTTATTACAAATTGACACTGTACCTGTCTTTGCTCCTTCTCCCAGTCGTTCATGGGCTGTCCATCCTGAGGGCTGGAGGGAGGGGGTCGTCTACCCAGACGCCGAAGACGCAGACGCCTGCGTTTCTTCTTCTTCTCATAGAGAATTTCGTTCTAAACAAGTATGAGAAATATACATTTGTTAAACATACACCTGAAGTGGATGGTATAGCGTACCACTATTGGAACGTGTATTGGACTCACCAGCCAACCTCCGGTGATGATCAGAGCATTCTTTCCTGGTTCAGTGAAGAAGGGTTCTGAGGGCTTCCTTTTCCTGGGGCGACGGCTCGGGGGCTCAGTCCTCCTGGTGCTCTGGCGTACTCGCAGCTTCTCACTGCAAACACAATAGTGTATTTGGACACCACACGGAGGATAGACTGCTCTGAATGTAAAAGTCTAACTCACTTGACATCTTCTCCATAGTGTATCTGCATGTCATCGGTCAGCAGGGAGCAGGAGTATCCAATGTTCTCAGCGGTTTCTGAAAGCACACAGGTCAGCCCTGTAGTTGGTACAGAAGTACAGATAAAGTTTATTTGTGCGCAGTACCTTTCTTGTCTCCAGTGAGCACCCAGATCTTGATGTCAGCTTTAGCCAGTTTAGCAATTGTCTCTGGAACTCCGTCTTGAAGTTTGTCCTCAATGGCTGTGGCTCCAATCAGCTGCACAAACACATTCTTAAGTTACTCCCTTCTTTGAACATCTATGTGCTCCAATGCCTTTTAGATGCACAAGTTTGTTAAGAGACCAGTTTAAGGGTTTAATATTAACCTAACTTGCATCACTTCCTGTGGGCAGCGGTTTAGTTTATTGGATTATCAAGGTTCACTCTCTTAACTAAAAACATGTTTAAGAGGTTCTCCACTGGGACCAGGACTCTCATGAAAATGAGATCCGAAATGGGACATCCTTGATTAAAGAATGATAAATAAAAGGATATACAATAGCTACTGTATGTAGTTTTCTAAAAATCCTAGTTTGTCAGTTTTCCATCTTCCACTGCTAACCCATGCCCCTCACAAACTGCCCTGTACTAAATAGTGATACTTACACAATGAACTAACCAAAGAAACAGAAGCCTGTGGTGTAGTGCAGAGAGCTTTATGCACAGCACGCTACATTGTGATCAGAGCCAGCTGCACTTTTCCAACCATGAGGTGACATGATTTTCATGGTTTGTCCAAAGGAAAAGTAACCCAGAAGCTTGTGCACCAATAGCTGTGTGGGAGTTTTCTACTATGCTCTCCATAAGCAGAGCCATATACACATGTGCATGCACTGGCTCGCGAGCACACACACACACAGAGTAGAGGCTGGGAACTGTACCATGAGGTTCTTCTCGATCTCCTCGTATACACGGTCCAGCGCGCCTTCCCTGTCAGCCAGCACCACCTGCGCCTCCTTGTGGCGGCGTGCCCATGACTCGTACTCCTCTGAGCTGATGTCTTTGTAGCACAGACACAGTGTGCGCAGCGTCTCATTAGCAAAGGTCTGAAACACACAAGCCAATGGAAATGGATCAGGTTTGTCATTAGAATACAAGCAACAATGCAAGCATACAAGCAATCATACAAGCTTCATATATCACATATCAACTTAGAGTTAGCTCACTTTAAAACACAACATTGAGACAAGCCTTAATAATATTCCATTAAACTAATGCATATCAGAACAAGTGTGTAAAGGTCGACAGGTTAGTCAATTCTATACACAAGATATAGGGGCATCTACCATAAAACCTAAAAAAGTAGGCATTGTGATTTGCCATTGATTTGCCCATTGCACTAGTGGTTTTGATGTGCTTGTGTTTGTGTGCAGAGGTTGGGTTACTGACGTCCAGTGCAGTCTGGGTGGTCTCCTTGTGCCTGGAGTCTGGGGACAGGCGCTCGTAGATGACAGTGTCAGCTCCTTTACAGTACAGACGGATACGGCCATCAGGGAAGCGTACTGAAACACAAACCACAGTCATTCTGCTGCTCACTACAAACCACTGTCAACATTAAACACTGACATTTTTGTACAGCTACATTCCACCACAAACACATGGAGAATATCATTACAGGTGTTAGTAGGAAATACAAAATAACTTGACTTAACTTATAATCTCAAGAACAATATGTTTTAAGTTACTACTAGCTTCCTCGTTAAGCAAAGCATGCAGATACATTGGGTCCCACAAACCACTAGGGGACCAGAAAGGCTGAATTGTTCAGGTTCATCTTTGGCACGACTGGTTGCCTAGTTCATATTGCTAGAGCAGTAAGAATGGTCATGTCCCCACTGATGATCTCAAAGAAGTTTTTGCAATCCAAAAAATCCAGACAGATCATGCAGTGACATCATTTTAAACCCTTTACATGAAAACTTCACTGGGTAACACTTTTGGCTTTAGAAAGGTATGCCTTTGTGTGTTGATGCCAGTCCTAATGCCATTTCTAATTAAAATAAAGGCCACAAACCAAAATAACACAGTTGGGTAAACTTTACTAAATGTTATTTTGTTGTATTTAACAACATGCTACTTACATGCAACACTAAGTAACATCCACACTAAGCTCACCGTCCATTTCCTGATCTGTTAGGATTTATTGATTTTAGTGCGACTCAGCAAAAAACAACAACAAAAAAACAACAAAGATAGAATAAGGGTGGAAATGATGTGATTACTGCTCTGACTGACCGGAACTAGCAGGATGCCATAGTGCAGAGAGCCAATTGATAGTTTTCAGATTGTAGAATGTGAAGATGTCATACTCCCAAGAGACAGATTTTCCTATTGATTACATTGTACTTGTGTGGCCAAACCTCCTTATCAAAGCCTGATCTCGTCAAATCTCAGAAGCTAAGCAGGCCTGGGGCTGGTTAGTACTTGAATGTGAGACCAGTGAAAATTCCAGGTGCCACAGTTGGGCACCAGTGGCACAAACTGTTGTTGTGTCTGTAGGCAAGGCGCTATATTGTCATCTAAAACCCAATAAATACTGACGGATTATAAGGTGTCCTTTATGACAGATATGTAAGAAGACAATGCTGATGCCAGGTATGTGATCCATCCATTACAAATATCAAATAAGACACAATCTCTACCCACATCCACTTACAGATGATGGACATGCGTTTGCGATCTGAGTTGAAGTCGAGCAAGGCCAACATCTCATAGGTACTCTCTTGCTCGCCCTCTCGGATGGTGATGGAGTCCTGGGTTCTGGACATGAACACAAAGCCAAAGTTCCGGGCAGCGGTCACCAAAGCGCCCTCATCTGGAGAGGCAGCCTGGTACACCATTTCCTCTGCAGACACAGGGAACAGACATACATGCTGGTCAAACATAAGTAAATGGGTCGGCTGTGTTCATATGACATTCCTAAGAACCTATAATATATAGGTCAAAATTGTGCCAGGTTTTGTTTCATGCAATTCATTTCCTTAATTTTTAAAAGAAGCTTAAACAGGCAGCATTTTACATCTATAGGGTATTAACTTACATGTTAGTTAATAGTTAATGTAAGTCCATTTACGTCACCATGCCACCTTTTATTGTTTTGAAAATGTTCTACTGGCCAAAACAACGTATTAACATGTTTAGTAAGTTTCAGTTTTGTCTTTGATGCTCTGAGAGCCTTGCCACTGCCCCAGAAACTAACACTAAATTTTACCTTTATTTCCCGCCATGAAAAATGTTGAGGCCGATCAGGATTTGTGTAACTGAGACTCTGATTGATGACATATTCTAACTCACCATCCACCATGACCGTGTGGCACAGTGACAGCAACTTAAAGAACTCCATGGCATCTTTGTCTTTTCCAGATCGCACCGTAGCCACAAGAGAATGGTCCATGAACTCAAACTTTTTGTCTGCATAACGATTCCAACTCCAGTCCACTGGCTGAAACAACACAAAAGGAAAACAGTGGCTTCTGTCTACTCAACTACTCAAGTGATGAATGTAGCAAGGTAAAAACGTAAGCAAAATGGAAGCTTACCCTCCCTTTATCCAGTGATACGCCTTCAGCAGTGGTCGGGTTACCTGCAAGCAAAGATCAGTTCAGGCCCTCAAAAACATCATAATTTGATTATCTAATGTACAGAAGTGGGTAAAGTATCCAAAAATTGTACTTGAGTAAGGTTGTTTTCACACATGTTAATTCACTCTGTGGACAGATTTAGTTCTGTTTACTTTACTTCTGGGTCAGCCTTGTTCACTTACACCACACATCATTCATCCCAAACACGCACTATGAGCTACGTGAGAGGCATCTGCTAATCGCCAAACTTATTGCCAAGACAGCACACTTCGAACGGACAGAGCCCTGTGAATATGCACTCACACAGATGCTTCCCTGCTGCTATATGTGGTGCTCTCTACTTTGACCTGCTGGGGCTAAACACACCCTGAGGACTGATAACAGCAGAGAAAATGGTTTTTGCATGACACACCGACAGACGAAAGAGGACACGTGACGCTAATACATTGAGAAAAACTAAATCATTTCTGAAAGAGTGGTGCAAGAAACACAAATAATCAAATAATTTCATAAATAATTTCAACATAAAGTTTTGTCACTTGTAAGACTCACCCCGAATTCACACCAGGAGCTGCAGCAGCGCTTAATGTAGGTGGAGCTGAGCGCACACGTAAATTTTAGTTAAAATTAGTGTCAATTCACACCAGAGCGTCAGAAACGCTCCTGCTACACCAGCCTGCACATCTTCTCTCTGTTTTCAGACATCTCATTTTGTTCTTGCTTTTTATTCTTAACATGTGTAGTTGTTTTTTTAAAATTTTATGTTAAGGTGCATTAAGTTAGAATGTGTATGGTGAACTGCAGAACACATTTAAGATGGTTATGGCTGACTTTATTGTATATATTGTAAAGAAAGTTTACTATAAAGCTACATTTCTACTTCATCTTGTATTTATGGTTTAATGAGGTTTAAATCTATTAACATGCACATAAATCACCTCAGTTTTTTTTCCTTAATAATGTAAATTCACCTATAATTAATGGTTCACGTAACATACATTACAAGTGTGATTACAACCTTATGTACGTACAGGTAATAAGGCCTATACATTCATATCTTGATAGAGTCCTGCACCTTTGGTGTGAATTGGGGGTTACTCACAGGGGGAAGAGTAACCAAAAATATGACTTTAGGAGTAAAAGTATGCTGCTACAAAAGTACAATTACTCTAAAAATGTACTCGAGTAAATGTTACAGAGTACTTCCCATCTCTGCTAATGTATTTGAGTAAATTACCATAACTACGCCCCGCTATGGTGCACTTCTTGAACTGCATGATGTTCTGGGTTAGAGTGCCTGTTTTGTCTGAGAAGATGTACTCGATCTGGCCCAACTGTTCGTTCAGAGTCGTGGTGCGAGCCTGAAGAGAGAACAAGGAGCAAGTAATTAAACGAAGATTTTTTATTTTTTTTTCACAGAGCACTATGTGCACTGTGGAACCTTTCTGGTCTCAGCTTGTCTCAGCAGAAACATTCTGATGTAATCTTGAATGTTCCAGAGCATTAGACTTACTTTATTTATTTTGTTATAGGTATTATTACTGAGATGGTCATGATACAAAAAAAAAATCTAACTGGGTACTTCAATACTAAGGAATAGACTCAGCACTGATACTACGATGGTAATAAAAAACACTATTTAGACAACAGAATGTGATTTTCAGCATTAAATCAAGTTATTTTCCTTTTTATTCCCATGTGGTCTTATTTATGTATAATCCCTCAATCCCCTATCTCAGGTCCAGATATGTTCCATAGTAGACTAGTATACACCCATGGACTATGTGTGTCTCTTCTTCTTGTTCTGATACAGCTCATGATCATTCTAAAGCTATTCAGGAAAGCTTAATTTATGTGACTGTAATTATTTTAGTATCAATGCCAGCTCAAATTAGTATCTAGTTTCTAGTTTTAGTATTGACTAGTGGCCTATCTGATTTTTGAAACTTCTGACAATCCTACTCTCCACATATCTGACCAATAATTTGGCCTTGTAGCATCACCTGCTTGTCTCATCCATTCTAGGCAAAGCAATAACAGCATGTACCTTTGCAGGAGTGTCCTTCTCGGCAAAGTACATTTGTAAATCCCAGTTGATGAATTTGCTTTGGCCCAAGCGAATCACCTCCACACTGAAAGGGCAACAATATAAAATGTGTTAGACAGTTAGTTCTCCATGTGTCCATGAGTGAGAATGAGTGAGCAATGGGTATATGCCTGGTCTGACCTGACATAGAGGGAGATAGGCACCATGGTGTTGAGCACGATAATGTAACCCCAGAAGCTGAGGAAGCCCCGGTGGGACGCGCTGTAGCCCGTGCCATCATACAGGTACCAGGCTTTGCTGCCAATCTCTTCGTACCAAAAGGTGTGACCGATGGCTAGTCCAGCAGCCACCAGGATGAGCAGTGCAAAGATCTGCCGAGAGGGAGTGATGGAGAAATGTGATATTAGGGCTACTACAATTTATTCTACAAAAGGAAGCAGCATATGACAAGAGCAAAAGAGGAAAATGGCTTCTAACCAATCACCTACAAGGACTCACCGTGTACACCATGTAGTTCATCAGCTCGTCGATCTTTGTGCGCTTGAACCTGGTCTTCCCTCCATTCCTCATTATTTTGGTGTCCGCTCCTACAAAATTTTGTTTATTGTAAATGACAATACTGGCCCTCTTTCATGAAGCGTTCTTACGAACAAATTTGTACTTAAGGCTTTCTTATGAACATTGACATTCACAAAACTTTTTCTTAAATGAAACAAACCTACAAACAGCCAGGAGCACTCATAAAACCAAAAAATTTGACAGTTTTAGAATATTATTACTCTGGTAATGCTACAAAAAATTCTATTTCCTCCATGATTGTAATTAAATATTTTCTTAAATTATTTCCTATAAACATATGACTATGTAATCCAATAGCATTTATGAGGTATATTAGCGCATGTGTCTATTGGGTCTAACAGACTTTATACAGGCTGCAGTGAGCCTCAGTGCTCTCCATACAGGCCACTGTCACAGTCCTGCGAGTGCTCACCACGCTGGACTCTTCACACCCATCTTTCCCTCTCTCCCACCAGCTTTCACATGTCATAATGCCAAACCCATATGGGCCATATTTGGATATTCAGAGATGTTTCTAACTAAATGCATATTCATTTTCTATGTAAGTGAAATGTAAATCAGCATGGAGGTGTTTCTGGATGTTGGTGAATTCGGCACAACTGTACTTCTATGAGATATTAATTGCTAACACATAACATATTTAGTTCACCATGTTGCCTTTTATTGTTTTGAAATTGCTATATGCATCCAAAACAACTTGGCAACTGTTGCACACCGAGTCTCCCTCCTTTTGCTCCCCACACTCACTCCTCATTCAGAGGGTTATCACAACTCAATCAGCGTTCATCCAACTAATGAAGCTACTGCACATCGCCTTAGGTTTGTGAAGTTTTAGTGCATTCTTTTGTGTCATGCTTTTGAATATTTATTAGTGTTGTAAAATGATTAAAAAAAAAGATCATATGATGAATCACTTTTGAAATGATTAATCACGATCGATTGCACTACACGCTGACATTTTTTTACAAAAATATCTCAATTATTCTATAAAGCTAAATTTAAAGCCCAATTGGCTATATAAAATTGTATTCCCATTTTATTTACAGTCTATTAAATACATGACTGAACAAAATAAACTACTGTTTCTACTATTTCATAATGAATTTGTGTGAGCACATGTTCCAGGTTAATGTACATGACCAAACAACAGGTTTAGTGGGGTTAAAGGACCTTCATTGCTGCTCATGGGTGTAACTGGCTCTTATTGTGACAGATACAAGCCTGATGTGTTTCAGTGTTCTGTAACAGTGAAATATTTGGCCCATATTACTGATAGACTTTATGTGTAACTGTAACCGTGTGTAATCAGCACAGCTCTTAAACACAGCCTGTCAGGTAAAGCTCCAGAGCCAAACTAAGACTCATGATTAGTCAAAACAGAAAATGTGATTAATCTGCATTCATTCATTCATTCATTCATTCATGAATCATGCATCAGTTTTTTAGCTGAATCGCATACATTAACGTGTTAACGTTGACAGCCCTAATATTTATGGAGATAATCGTGTGGGCTGAGTATTGGACAGGCATATACTGATAAGGAGGGTTTGAATAGTTCCTAGGAGAGATCACTAGATGACTAAAACATGCATGGATGAGATATAAAACCTCTTCTGACATGTTTCTGATAACACTGTAACATAGTAGAAAGATCCAAAAAGTAAATACCTAAAGTAAAAGTAATACCTCCTCTTTAATAATAGAAACAGATCCACTGACTTCCTGTTCAAACTGCAGAAATGATTCTTTGCTGCTGGCCTGTCTCTTCAGTGGCATTTCAGTGTTAGTTAGTACAGAGCAGTGGTTGGGGATAGAGGGTAGCTGACAACAGAAATATCAAGGCTCAAATGACTGACAATACAGAATAACTCAAACCTGCATAAATCAATTCAACTACACCTCTGTGAGGTAAGGATGTTGGAACATTGTTTTTACATGGTTCAAAAATAAAAGTCAACTTTACATAAAATGTCCCCTTTAGTATCCCTGTGTGCCTGAATGGGGTGTCACATGTGTATAAAACTTGCTAGTTAAGTTCAGACCTCAATAAACATTTTCTGAAATGCATGGGATGCCTGGATGAGTGTAGCAGTTCATGTTTCAGTCTTCTCTATATGTGAGCAGACCTGCGAAGATGACCAGTCCATGGCAGAACTCGGTGTTTCGGATCTTGCAGCCTCTCAGAAGCATGTTGTCCAGGTCCAGAGGGTAGCGCTCTCGCTGCCACAGCATGGTTCCCGTGAATTTATCCAGACGATTATTGGGCTCCTCACACTCAATCAGAGCTGGAGACAGACCACAGAGACACACACGGTGCAGTCATTGAAAAGTCATAAGAATGGTAAGGCACATAGTATAAATATATTGGCTATAGCTGCTTTTCAGGTTCTGTATAGTTTAACAAACCATATCGCCAATATGCAAGATCAGGCTCAACATGTGTAGGGGTCATTCCATGCCAAATCTCCAAATGCCCCCGATCGACCATCTCAGATTTGCCTGAAAAAACCCTAGGAGGTTCACACGCTTTCCAATAGGAAAAGTCTCAAGGTTTAGCTCCAACTCCTTATAGTTTTGTCATTAAAAATAAAATATTTTGTCAACTCCCCCTGACCTGTTTTGAACAGAGTTTTCCACGGAGCCACTTTCAGATTGCTGTATCTAAAACTATTTATGGCAGGTCCTTCAAGTTTTCAAGGGTTAAAATTTGGCAAATGTACTTGTAGAATATGGACTTTTACACGTGTGCTTTTGATTTATCACAGATTTCTGGGGGCTTGAATGTGCTTGAAAACTCCACTCTTCAAATATACGGGCATCTTTGAAGGACTGTTGACAGTGCCATTTCAAAGACAGAGGTTTGATATTGAACATACATCTTCCCACACATGCTGTGTATTTTGTATTTTAAAACTGACCCTCTCTGATGAACACTCTAGAAGATACTGTGTTAAAACATAAAATGAACTGTTTAAGAAAGACTAGATGTCTGTTTTTAACATATCCAAAATTTGTGATGGTGGAAGAAAACTCTGAATATTTGACTCACAGCTTAAACTCAACAAAATGCTTAATTTGATTACTCAATTATTGTAAATTTTCTCAACTCTTTGAGGAAACTTTCAGATGTTTTGGTGTGACACTCCTGAATTGTATATAGGTGTCCTGTTGCAGTGCTAGGAATATCTGTTTTCGAACAGTCCTTCAAAGATGCCCTCATATTTGAAGAGTACAAATTTCGAGCACATTCAAGCCCCCAGAAATCTGTGATAAATCAAAAGTACATGTGTAAAAGTAAATTTGCCATATTTTAACTCTTGAAAATCTGAAGGACCTACCTTAAATTGTTTTTTAGATACAGCAATCGGAAAGTGGCTCCTCAGAAAATTCTGCTCAAAACAGGTCAGGGGGAGTTGACAAATATTTTTAATGACAAAACTATAAGAAGTTGGAAGCTAAAATTTGAGTCTTTTCCTATTGGAAAGTGTGTGAACCTTCTAGGGTTTTTTCAGGCAAATCTGAGATGGTTGGGCGGGGGCATTTGGAGATCTGGCATGGAATGACCCATAGATGTTCCTGTAAAACAATTGAGTGTAAAACCAAGCTCCTGCCTCATCTGGGAACAAGATATTAGTTTATTATTTGACAAACTAAGAAGCAAAGGTTTAAATGAAATGTGTTATGACAACATGACATGAAGCTCCTGCTGATGTTCTACCGGACAGTCATCTCCAGTGTCCTCTTCAACCCTGATCTGCTGGGGAGGAAGCCTCAAGAAGAAGGACACTGTGCAGTTGGATAAGATGGTGAGGAAGGCAGGATCTGTAGTGGATGCAGAGCTTGACTCACTCACATCTGTGGCTGAGAAGAGGGCCCTAAACAAACTCCTGTCCATTCTGGATCATCCAGCAACCCCTGCACAGCACCATCAGGAGCACCTTTGGGGACAGGCTGTCATTCTCCACGGACAAACTCTGGAAGTGGTTTGTTCCACACATCTTCTGGCTATCAGTAATTCAATTTCTAGAGATGCGCTGTATATTGTTGCTGCCTGATAAATTTATTTATTTAAGTTTTAATTTTGACTCAAATACTGGGTCCTTTTGTTTTTATTGAACCAAATGACTCTAAATAATGTTTTATTACTCACTCTACTTGGTGTTCAGCAGTTTTGAAATAATGCATACAAAATATTTGGAAGGTATGAGAATGAAAAGGAATCATGTGTGCTGTACTTGTGACCACTGCATGTCTGCAGCGGTATGACCATCAGAGACACTGGGGAGACGGGGACGTGGGGATATGGGGATATGGGGACATGGGGACATGGAAAATGTTAAAGAACTATGTAAGTTTACCATCAAAGTCAGCCAGCTGCTGCTCCTCCTGGAGTCGCTCATCGGTCACTCTGAGGCCCATTTTAAACTTTAGGTTGGTTTCCCTGAAACAATCACACATCAATTACTATTACTATACTGTACTATTACTTTTTCAACTCTCAACATTCCCAGTGCAAATTGCAGGTAATATGGGCCATTATAGCACACTAAACATCATTTTATTTTATTCTTTTTTCTTGTCAGGAGAATGAACTTGACAGTTTGGGCTGCTGCCTTTCTCAGCAGTGTCAGATGATCAGAGGTCTGTTCATCTGTTCATAAGAAACTTAAATATTATAATATCAGAAGATCTGATGGATTTAATTGGAACAACTATAATAATGCATTTCTTAGGTTGCCCACTGTTCCTTAAAATAAGGAAGTGTGTTCCTTATTTGGACAGAAAAGTCAGAAGTTCCACAGGCTGCTCCACACAAAGTGGCTGCTCTGAGCTGTAGTATGCCTAACCCAGTATTATGTCAGCCATGTAACACACCATCATTAGGTATTCATTAGTATCAGTAATGCGCGCTTTGTATAACTAGTCATATTTGCTCACTGAGTTTACCCAGCTCTCAGAGCTAACAGAGATACAGTGAGCTGCAGATAAGTATGTGGTGTATTCAATAGGACTCACCCGTCCAGTTCTGCTGTTTCCACATAACACAGACTGTTAGGGTTGGATGACGACAGCAGCAGGATGTCAGCCTGCGGGACACAGGACACAGGGGGTTATGGAGGGTTAAAGGACATATTAGTTCAACCGCTGTTGGTCTTAAAATTAGCTTTTGAGTTCCTCTGCTTTGGTGTTTCATCTTTTAGCACTTAGTAATGCTTAAGAATAGAAAAATACACATTCTGGTCTTGCCTTTTCCCTACTAGGATTTTGTTTTAGCACGCCATCTACTGGCAGCAGTGAGAATGAGCGATTAAAAAAATTTGCAAATACAAACACACCATTGTCATTAACTTAATTTGACTGCTGTGGGGTCTTGTTTATAAAACTTTATGTGAGTATGACCAAAACTGCTTACTTCTTGCATGCTTTATAAATGAAACCCTAGAACAAGCCCAGTGATTTAAGGACTTAGACCTGTGCAGCATTTCTACCTGTGAGGTAATTACCAAGGGAAAAATTGAATTGAGACTCCATAAACAGGAATCCATGCATGAATGAACAAAATACAACTCAACTATGTTTTTGATGATGGAAGTACATTGTAAAATTAAAAGCTCAAAAAAGTCAATCTTTCATAATGTGTGATCTTTAAAGTCAGTTTGCCCCATCTTCCAACGGTCAAAGAAGCAGTGTGTTCTGCAACATGGTTCAAGTCAGAAGAACCGAGCTGGAGACTTGCTTAAAGAAATTCATCCAACCTGATAATCAAATCTGGCTCCCTGTTTTTGTGACTGCACTGTCTCTAAATGTTCTTTTTGGTAGGTGGTGTAATGTACACTATAATCAGCCTTTTAAAAACTTTTTAAAACATTTTACATAAGTTACATAATGGTCACTACCACTGCATGGAATGTTTGGTTTTTTCTACAGTTTAGATCCACTGGAAGAAAAGATAAGACAAATATTTGAAGAAATATGTATGCATGTATGTAGTAAAGAAAAAAAAGTTTAATAACTTTTATTTTATATATTCAAATGCTCAAAGTAGCCACCCTTTACTTTGTTGAGACCGCTGCAAACCTTTGGTCTTCTCCCAGTAGTTCATCAGTTCATGATGAAACCTGAAATGGTTTTCACTTCACAGCTGTGGCATGTTGTGGTGACAATAAAAAAATAAAAAAAAACATGTGAGATGTGTCCAGACTTAACTGGTAGTAACGTATATCCAGCAAACTTGGCTTTTTACCATACTATTGTCACAAGGTTGTGTTCTACGGTGAGTACTTACTGGAATGAAGTCATTTTTCTTGAGTCGAACCACATCTCCCACTTGGATATTCCTCCACTTGGATGTCTGAAACCTGGAACACAAGCCTGTGAGTGCACCGTACCCTCTCAATCATCCAAGACACATACGTTCATTCTTTAGCACTGTTTATTCAACTTGAGTGAACCCCTTTGCTCTAGAAAATACCCCCAGTATATTATGCTATGTTCATATTTTATTCAATAACGTACCTGGAATTGTGTTTCATTTCATTCACTCATGTTTTACACAAACCCTGCATATTTAGCCAGTTGTGTTCCCTCAAACAGAAAACACTTCACGCTCTATGTTTTTAAAAATCCATATGCCTTCATTAGAATCATTTGGATCAGTTCAACCCTGTAATTACCAATCTCTACTGAAGCAAAAGGTAAGAGGTAGAAAAGAGCATTTTGAGCTTTAGAGATGTAGACAGACTAATAGTAAAAAGTAACTCAAACATGTGTGAATGAAACAAAACACAATTCCAGATATGTTTTTGATGAGTTGATGACATATAACGTGCTCACCAGAATACATATCGTGTATTATAAGACCTTGAAATATGTCAGTTATGTGAACTATAATATGTTGATGAACAGGTTTGGGCATCCATGTTTGTTGTTCCAACAAAACAAAGCAGGTGAAATGCGTCCAAACTCACCTGCCGTCCAGCAGAACCTCTGTCTTCCTGTTGTTGATCTCCTTGTCCATCCTGTGTCGTGCCTGTCATTTCAACAAGTTCAGTCACATGCAGAAAATCAAACATACATTTGTATACATGACTCAGTCAGGGCCCTGTGCGCTGATGTGGGGTTAAAGAGTCAATTCACCGTGGATTATTGATACCATGCACTGACGAGTAGACATCCTAACATAACAGGCAGCAAGCATGTGTTAGTGGGGATTGGTACAACTAGGGTTAAAGCAGTTGTTATTCAGTTTATAAACTGCTATCACTTAAGTGGGAGAAGTTCAGTCAGTAGCTCAGAAGAAACCTAAAAAAAAACTGAATCAAAAGGTGCTGTACTGGAAAGTATCGATGTCATGAGACGAATATTTCAAACCATGTTTATTTAGACAATAGAATGAGATTTGTGATCAACAAATTATTTAATTAAATCATACTGTTTACTTTTATATTACTATGCGGCCCTATACAAGGGTGCCTGCAGGATTTTTGGGAAGATACGCACAGCAAAGTGGATGTCAGACGCTCCACTCAGTCTGCACACCTGACAGCTTTGGCGGAACACATCTCTCTTTTCTCTAATTTTCTTTTCTCTCTAATGTCTGCAGTGTTTTATCCAATTTCCCAAAGCACTCAGTGTTAGAGTGTGATGATTGCCACTACATGTGTTGGGCACTATATTGTTGAGTGTAAGGTTACACAGAGCTCAGTCAAGTCAGAGCAGCCGGCCATTGTGGCCACCAGCTCAAAAGTGAAACATATCTCCTGGCTTGTGTGCCTTGCGAACTTGGTGAGCTATAAGTAGTTATTCGGCAAAGACGTCTACACAAGCTGAGGGCATGGCTGAGAGCTCCCATGCACCTAGAGAGACCCACTTCAGAAGTATCAACACTCAGTTTAGTCTTACTGAATAAGTGTATGTCATCTTCTCATGTTGTTAAGGATTACTCACTCTATGTACAATGAGTGTACTTGTCAAGGTAAATATTTCTCCTACTGTATTGTCCTAAGAAGACCTAAGAAGTTAATGTACAAAAGAAGACAAGATGAATGTTTTTGGTTTAATTTTGACAACCCTACTGGAACCAAATATATTCTTATAAAAGAAGAATTATCTTGTGTGCAAATAGATACAGTATGAATGTACTCGTTCTGCCCATCAAAACCAGGAGCCACGTTTCTAATCAACTACGTCTGGTTATCGGATATCAGCTGAACCGATATTTGGAAGTTGAAACCAGCAAATTTTTCACTATCGGCACCATTATTCAATACCAGTATCGGTGTATCTCTAGTTTGTGTGGGTGAAAATGTGTGTTTCTTACCAGGTCATCCACCAGGTCTTTGATGGCGGTGATTCCCAGCACGACCACCAGGGGGATGAGAGTGGTGTACCAGGGCAGTGTGGTGATGGACGGGATGATCTGCAGAACACACAACAGTCTGAGCAACGGCACACTGTATTCCAATCTGTTTCCTTGCTTCCTTTGTTCCTGCTGTGGCCATACCGGCTTGTCAAAGCCTGATCCTGTCAGATCTCAGAAGCTAAGCAAGGCCGGGCCTCATTAGTACTTGGATGGGAGACCAGTGGGAAAATCAGGTACCACAAGCCGGCGCTGGCCGTTAAAAAAAAAAAAACTGTTGTTGTGTCCTTAGAAAAGGCACAAGTCAGTCTGCCCCAGTACAGCTGTGGCTACAATAGTGGCTTACCACCACCGAGTATGGAGTGACTGAATAATGCTCTGTAAATCGTCTTTGCGACAAATGTCTATGAAAAGCGCTATATAAATAAAAGTCTTACTTACTTGAGACATGTCAGTCCTGTCAGTAAAAGGACTTAAAACTATTTTATATATACACATTTATATATACACATACATACACATACATACGCATACGCACGCACACACACACACACACTTAACATGTTAGCAGTCATGTTCCAAATAGGAATTCGGCTCTTCCAGCTCCTTCTGAACTTGGCTCACATTGACTTGCATTGGAATATTGCCGTCCCTCTCTCTAACTGCTGCTCTGAGCCTCATCATTTTGATCTTAAAATGTTTGTATTACCTTGCTCTACATGACCCTTTTTTTTCCCTCACCATTTTGTTCATATAAAAAAAATCCTATTCATAATATAGAGCCTGGTTCCAAATACGCTCCTGTAACTGTTATGGCAGTGAATGGGCTATATCAGAATTGTACTGTAGGGCCTGGTCAAGCAGAAGTAAACAGCAAGGCCAAAAATTCAAGTTATGCATCTGATATAAAAATGTATTCAACAGATACATATGTACTCTAGTTTATGAAACTGTTGACCTTTTTTCTGTACCATTTTTGGTTCTAAAGTTTCATATGCTTTAAACAGACCATGTATGAAACATGGAACAAAAATTATTTCCCAAATTTCAAAGACCTGCACATCATGTAAATAAATTGATGTATTTCATCATATCTTGTGTTATTCCATCTTTGAACTGTTGATGAAGGGACATGATTAAAAAAAAAGAAAAAGTATTTAAAATGATAAAAATTAGCTTGGAAGGACTGACATATTTTATAGAAATAGTTTCCTTTCATTTTGAAGTAATATTAAAGTATTCAGAAGAAAAAAGTTGACAAATTGTGTAAAATCATGCACCTTCTACTTACTTGCACAATTTTCCCTCCGTTACTTTTCCCTCCGTTTCCATGACCTTTCTTAATAAAAAATCTCATGACTCAAAAAGTAAGAGGTTTTTCAACCTAATCTTGTACCATATGGTAGAAAACTATATGAAGCAAATATTCAAACCAGTTTGTTAAGGATATGTAAGTGAGAACCAAGAGTTATCACTGTTTGGATTTATTGCCCAAAAAATGCTGCATATTTCATTCCCTCATTTACAAACATGAGTTTTAAAAATTTTTGTCAACAACTTGAAAGAATATCACAGGTTTAACTTTACCCTGTTGGAGTGTTAACTCTTTCCTACATTCTGATACCTTACTTATTTCAATAGTCCCTCTAGTTTCTGAATAAGAGCTATTTGAAAGTCAAAAAATCTGCTCCTGTTTCCCTCCATTACCGCTTGACCGGACCCTGTATTAAAAATGTGAAAAAACATAACTAGTTCATTTTTAACAGTTTGCAGTGGTCCAAATTTATGTTCAAGAAATAGTTCATGGCAGTGGCTCCCAAACCTTTCACACAAAGTAACACCAAAGAAAAGATTTGGTTTTGCGAGTACCACCAGATCCAAACCAGGTCAGGTCAACAGGATTATTCCAGACTAATCAAGATTTAAACCAGGTCTATAAACACGACGAGTCCATGTCATATAGACCTGTTATAGGCCTGGTTTAGCTGGAGATAACAGGACTATTCCAGGTCTAAAAGTTGAAAAAAATGTTGATAAAATGAAATCTAAATGAAGCACACCCACAAACTGAGCAGCTGTCCAAGAACCACCTGAAGGAGTTGTTTGAGAAACACTGGTCTAGAGTGAATTTGTCTCCTGAATGTAGTTGATAACTTTTATATACATAAAGATGATTTCTACTGTAAAACTTATAAAAAGGTGTTAAAGGTCTGTTCCAAAGCCTGAATGGAGAGAGAGTGCATTACTGAGGTGTGTGGGAGTGCAGAATGCATGTGGTACCTGCAGGATGAGCAGAGCAAGGAAGTACAGGTTAGCCGCTCTCTTGAACTGCTCGTACAAGTTCAGGGGGATGAACGTCAGCACATTGTACTTATAGGTCTTAATGGCATTCCCCTGAGAAAACAGACTCGCATTAGACATCACATGTAGTGTAGATGTAGTCTAGTAGTCACCTGTGAACTAGGGCTGTAATAATAATTACTCTACTGATATCAAGCCCCATTTAATATGATATTAAAAACACAAATATAGTATGTATATTCTGTGTACTGTTTGTTGTTTGCAAGGTGAATCCTGTACTCACAGAGTATCTGCTCTTCTTGATGCAGAGGAAGACTTTCTTTTGGAATTCTGGGAGCTGATGGTACGCTCTATCATTGGCCTTCACTTTCCAGCCCATCTCTAAAAGAAAAAGCCCAGAAGGGTATTTATTTCTCATGAGACTCTTCAAAAGACAAATCGCATACACTGATGACAACTGGGAATGACACATGGGGGCAGTGCAGAAAAAATAAGCCAGATATTGGTTGAATTTAATCATCGGTAAACCATCCCTACAGTTTAGTATATCTTATTGTGTCCTCATCTTAGCAGTGTGCGTTGTCCCCACTTCTTTTGTTTCCTCTTGGATGGGGTCAAAGTGAGTCAAGCTTGGTCTGCCTGGCAGAATTTAATTGAAGTATGCTCATGAGGTAATCGTGATATGCCCCAGGATGTGTGATGATCCTGAGTGCAGCTCTACGTACATGAACATGATTTGAAACACCTTGAAAACCCATAAAAACATAGTAAGCAAACAGTGTGAGCATGTGGTACCGCTGGGTCTGGCTTCCACAGCTTGGTGCTCTCCTCCTGGTGGTTCTGCTAGAGCTTCGTCTGATGGGGGCTCGAGCTCATCGTCCGTCTCATCGTCGCTGTAGGGCATTTCCTCATCATTGGGCACTTGGGAGCCCTGGGAGCCCTGCGAGTCTGCGCGGGGACGGCTCATGTTCACTGCCAATCTGAAAACACAGCAGCATCCATTCATGTCATCCAATCTTCTGTAGTAAAAAAAAAAAAACAAGTATGCCAAGTGCCAAGGTCTTTAGCCCATCTGGGTCAGGCCATTTAAACCTGAAGAGATTTGATAAAGACTATGACTTTCAAAAGAAATGAAAATCCAAAGATACTCATTTCACCAAGTATTGATACTGCAAAAAAAAAAAAAGTAGTATGCAGTACTATTTTCATTTGAATATTACATTCTATTACTAAAAAAGAAGCATTTTTATCTTCACTGTGTTATCGTGATGTGTACTGAGTGAATTCCTTAGTATCAAAATTGAGTTTGAAATTTTAGCACCATGAGGACACTACTGAGAACAAGTAAAGGGCAGGACAACACACAGCGCCACAGGACAACACACACACAGCGCCACAGGACAACACACACGCACACACGCATTACAACACACACGCACAGGACAACACACACGCATTACAACACACACGCAGCGCCACAGGACAACACACACGCACAGGACAACACACACGCATTACAACACACACGCAGGGGACAATGCACACACACAGTGCCACAGGACAACACACACGCACACACACAGTGCCACAGAACAACACACACACACACACAGTGCCACAGAACAACACACACACACACACACAGTGCCACAGAACAACACACACACACACACACAGTGCCACAGAACAACACACACACACACACAGTGCCACAGAACAACACACACACACACACACAGTGCCACAGGACAACACACACACACACACAGTGCCACAGAACAACACACACACACACACACAGTGCCACAGGACAACACACACACACACACAGTGCCACAGGACAACACACACGCACACACAGTGCCACAGAACAACACACACACACACACACAGTGCCACAGGACAACACACACACACAGTGCCACAGGACAACACACACGCACACACAGTGCCACAGAACAACACACACACACACACACACACACACACACAGTGCCACAGGACAACACACACACACAGTGCCACAGGACAACACACACGCACACACAGTGCCACAGAACAACACACACGCACACACACACAGTGCCACAGGACAACACACACATGCGCACACACACAGTGCCACAGGACAACACACACACAGTGCCACAGGACAACACACACACACACACAGTGCCACAGAACAACACACACGCGCACACGCGCACACACACACAGTGCCACAGAACAACACACACGCACACACACACAGTGCCACAGGACAACACACACACGCACACACACAGTGCCACAGGCAGCACACTGACTTGCAGACTTGATTAATTAAAAGGTCACAGACTTGATTCCCAAGAAACCATGATTTGGGCATGTTGTTAAATGCCGTGTGTACCAGCGCTGCGTTCATGAGACACTGGTAGAACTGTACTATACTATAGGATAAGTGGGACTGCAAACGACTAATCAGCTGGGCTTCTCTCCGCAGCACTGAGAGCTTTCAGATGTAACATTGCAATAAGCACATGCCTAAATCTGGTCATTTAAAGCATAAATCACAAACCCTGCTGCTCTAAACATGATGAAGATGAAGCACAGTGCAGAGGAGGAGTCAAGGCACACACACACACTCTAAAGTGGAGCTGGAGCTCAATACCAGTGCAGAGACTGAAAACAGCATTTATACCTGTACGCTGCTGTCACAACTGACCCTACAGAGGGCAGTAAACATAGACTGGGATCACCAGATGTTCAGAAAGCAAGTGAACAAGTTTTTGAAAAGAAGTGACCCCAACTCTACTCAAATATGCACAAAAAATAAGCAACCCTTTGAACTTTGTGTGCAACTATTAATTTATAATTAATGGACAGAGGAGAATTCAGGTAGCAAATATTGTACATTAGTAACAAAGTACAAAGTAGTGGTCCAAGAAATTACAATAAATAAGAGTTAAAAGGTATAACAGAGTAACTACCTACCAGGATGTAAGTTGCATCTGATTTATGATTAAGTGAATGTAAGCTATCATTACCAGTTGTACTATCCTGACACCAAACTGGAAAGTTTTAATACAGTTAAAAAAAAACACAGCAACAACAACAACAACTGTGTAAAAGTAGGACTAGACCAAGACAACAGCAGACCAAAACCAGGTTTAGCCCAGAACTAAGGACTGAAGCAGCACAACGGCCCCTGGGTGATGGTGCCCCTCATGTTGGGGCTTCCTCTGCTGATCACGTTTTGTCACTGAAGTATGTGCACTTGTGAGCTTAATTCATTTGACTTGAAACTGATTTGAAGTGTTCCAATCAATCTTCTTTTACTCATATGGGCGTAGCTGATTTCTGAACAAAAGATCAGCCTCTCTGAAGATTTAAGGCCGATTGCTGAATATATGGTCTTGACTTCAGAAGGCAAACACAATGGTATAATCACATGCCTGACATTTGTGCGGGAAATGGCTCTAGAGTCCGTGTACCATTCATTCTTTTGAATTCCAATTAAGAACAAAAAACAATAAAATGGGAACAGTCTGTTACTTCATTATTCTGTTTTAGTGTTAAATAAAAAAAACAGTTTGACGTCCATTTCCAATATTTAATTTAACGTTTATTTCAAATAACACCAATCAAAAACAGTCTCGGTGCCTCTTTTTTTGATATTTTATTCTCTCTGGTTTATATGCCTTACAAGTTATGCTGCTATGCTTCCTAGTGCGTATTTTTTAATTTTTGAATGCATTAGTCTGTATCAGTGAGAGATGTTATGAGATGAGATGAGATCCATGCTAAATACCATGAAAGAGTTGTTTGGAGTAGGCAAGACACAGGTGGAAATTTCCGCCACACTGAAGCAAAATGTGCTCAGAAATGAGTATTCAAAGATTTTGTGAAAAACACAACCTAAGATGCAAAGGATTGGTTACTGACGCAGAATTGCAATTTTGTGTTCAAACATGTTGCCCTCTTTTATAGCAATGCGTTTACTTTTGCGTCTTAGAAAGTCATAGTTGAACTCCATGACGAGAAAGAGGAAGCAGCAATATGCAGCAGAACTTCTAGGGCGTATAAACCAGAGAGAATTAAATGTCAAAATTGAAATGGGCACAGAGACCCCTCCTTGAACCGTCACCTTATCGTGGTGGAGGGGTTTGAGTGCCCGAATGATCCTGGGAGCTCTGTTGTCGGGGGCTTCATGCCCCTGGTAGGGTCACCCAAGGCAAACAGGTCCGGGGGGACGGGTCAGACGAAGAACGGTTCAGAAGTCCCATATGATGAGTTACACACAGAGGCCAGTTACGTCGCCCAGATTGGTGTCACCGGGGCCTCACCCTAGAGCCAGGCCTGGGGTGGGTGCTCGCCAGCGAGCGCCTGGTGGCCGGGCCTTCCCTCATGGGGCCCGGCCGGGCTCAGCCCGAAGGAGCGACGTGGGGCCGTCCTCACGTGGGCCCACCACCCGCGGGAGGATCCATATTGGGCCGGTGCAAGGAGATCTGGGCAGCGGTCAACGGCGGGGGCCTCAGCGACTGGATCTCCGGACATGGAGACTAGCTCTGGGGACATGGAATGTCACCTCGCTGGGGGGGAAGGAGCCTGAGCTTGTGCGGGAGGTTGAGCGTTACCGACTAGATATAGTCTGCCTCACCTCCACGCACAGTTTGGGCTCTGGAACCCAACTCCTTGAGAGGGGCTGGACTCTCCATTTCTCTGGCGTTGGCCGCGGGGAGCGGCGGCGAGCTGGTGTGGGCTCATTGCCCCACAGCTCAGTCCGCTGTGTGTTGGAGTTCACCCCGGTGAACGAGAGGGTCACGTCCCTGCGCTTTCGGGTCGGGGACAGGTCTCTCACTGTGGTGTCGGCCTACGGGCCGAACAGCAGTGCTGAGTACCCGGCCTTCTTGGAGTCCCTGGGAGGGGTACTAGACAGTGCACTGACCGGGGACTCCGTTGTTCTACTGGGGGACTTCAATGCCCATGTGGGCAACGACAGTGACACTTGGAGTGGGGTAATTGGGAGGAACGGCCTCCCCGATCTGAACCCGAGCGGTGTTTTGTTATTGGACTTCTGTGCTAGTCACAGTTTGTACATAACAAACACCATGTTCGAGCACAAGGGTGTCCATAAGTGCACGTGGCACCAGGACACCCTAGGAGGTCGGAGGTCGATGATCGACTTTGTAGTCGTGTCATCTGACCTCCGGCCGCGTGTCTTGGACACTCGGGTGAAGAGAGGGGCTGAGCTGTCAACTGATCACCACCTGGTTGTGAGTTGGGTTCGCTGGCGGAGGAGGAAGCCGGAAAGACCTGGCAGGCCCAAGCGTGTAGTGAGGGTCTGCTGGGAACGTCTGGCGGAGCCCTCTGTCAGAGGGACCTTCAACTCGCACCTCCGGGAGGACTTCTCCTGGATTCCGGGGGAGGCTGAAGATATGGAGTCCGAGTGGGCTCTGTTCTCGGCCTCTATTGTCAATGCGGCCGCTCGTGGCTGTGGCCGTAAGGTCTGTGGTGCCTGTCGCGGCGGCAATCCCCGGATAAACTTTAAATTAAATATTGGAAAAAGAGATCAAAATCTATTTTGTTTGACATAAAAAAAGAATAATAAATAACAAACTGTTCCCATTTGATTGTTTTTAGTTCTTAATTGAAATTCAAAAGAATGAATGGTACACGTACCCACTAGGCCTGCCCAGATGACTCAATGTGTAATGTGGTGAAGAAAATCAAATAAAGCCATTTCAACAATGGAGGGTTATCTAAACACAGTATGACACGTCAATTAATCCAGTTAATCCAGTCAGCAAAGTGACAGAGATAGACTGGTTGGCCGATACACCGGGCCAGTATTTACACTTTTTAACATATGAGCCTTAAAATCTCAAATAGAAGCTGTTATTTTGTTTTGACTGACCTGCTACAAAAGAATACGCATAATGCTTTATCTGAACAGTTTAGTGTGAAAACATAACTGCACAAAACACCGCCCTCTCTTAAAGGTTTGTGCCAAAAAAAGGCTATGAGTCTGTACTAAATTTAAATTACAGATCAGATAAACATCAAAATTGGCCCAAATATATCTGCAGAGTTTATTGGCCATGGGTTGCTCTTGGTTCTGAACTAGTATCGGCCGTGAAAAAAAAAAAAACCAAACATTAAATTAAATGTCTACTATTCATGTAGGAAATCGCACTAAGCCAACAGTGAATAGATGACACAATGATAAAGTGTGGTTTTGCTGTGGTATAGAAAATCAAATAAAGCCCTTTCAACAATGGAATATTATCTTAGCACAGTGTGACACATTAACCCCACAGTCCACAAAGTTAGACTGATCTCATGAGAGCTTGCTGCTAAATGAAATGCGACAATGGTAATTCCTGTTGTGCTTGAACGTACCATACCAAACACAGAGAGAGCAGTTCCCAGCCTATTGTGTCCCTGTCCCTGTATGTGCTCACATTCTGCTCCACCGCGCCCTGCCACGCTCTGCTATATTTTTAGAACACACATATACATACACAGATTGGACTGCTCACTTATCATTCCCGACAAACTAAACCTCCTACACAAGAAACAGTAAACGTCACCAGCTCACTCAACAGGTTGTGCTTAACTTAGCTACTATTCTGGGTGTAACATAAGAGCTGCATTTCCTTGTGCACAGAACCCTCAGGGACCCCTCAGAAAATCTTTTGTCTAATGTACCTGTAAACCTGCTGTAAAACGGCGCATTTCTCTTTGTGTTTGTTTTAAGTCATTAAAGGTTTTGAAGCTATGACAACACTCTACAACTGTGATGTAGAGGTAGGAAAAAAACTTTGACACAGAGGACGGGGGGTACTTTTGTTCAAAATGATAGAGAACCAATGAGCTCCTTTGTTTCTGATGTGTCACTGAAAAAAGCAAATCTCGCATCGCTTGAGATGTGAAAGAAAGCATGGGGATAATGGGGCATCTGTATAATTTAGAGATATATCTTTCTGGATTTGCGAGGCAAAAAAATTTGTTGCAAAAAGGGCTGACTGAAAACAAAAAGTTACATCTGTGCCCTCTTGTGGTTAACGCTACATTCCATTATGTTCTGTGTCATCCTTGATTGGTTCAATAGAATCATCAGAATGCTTTTATGATTATGGACTGACTGACTTACAGTCGCTATTTGGAGATGTTAACCAGTCACAGGTATGTGTATTTAAAAAAATGCACAAAAATGGTCAATGTTGTAAGGTTTCTGGAAAATAAATAACCCATTAATGTATTAACACATCTGAAATATAAATACACTGACGAGACAGGAAGTACCAGAATTACCTCAAATCACACCGTGTAACTTTCTGAAGGTGGCACCTGCATGATTCCATAGAAATACTATTAACTACTAAGGAATACCATGGAATTCAGAGCAACACAACCTAAAACGACATGCTTATTACTCTATTTTTCGGCTACAACAATTACACAACAGGGCTTGAAGAAGCACTTAACAAAGAAGTATTAATCTGTCTGCATTAGGATCATGATGTCACGTTTAACTACCCCATTGACTCTAGAAGGCTATGACACACAAACTCTATGTGTGACACAGTTTGAGATAATAATGGACAGTTGTCTGCAGAAGTTTAGCCTCAATGTTTTCTCCCTGTGCGCCTCTCTCTGTCTCTGTCTCTCTGTCTCTCTCTCTCTCTCTCTCTCTCTCTGTCTCTCTTCCCCCTCTGAAAACAGGTTGTGTGGGGTTGTTTTCAGAGGGAGGAGGGGGAGGAGGTGTGGCGGCACTGGAACCTGAAACCATCTAGGTTCTGGAAGGAAGAGTCACCTCATGCAAACAAGCACTTGGACTGCTTTGTCATTAAATAAAACTGAGCCCAATAGCCTGTAGGGTGGTCAAAAGTATCGAAAATTACATACTAACCTCAATCAAAATGAATCTTCCCTGAAGCTTTAGAATGATGTTGAGTTGTATCAGAACAAGTAGAAGAGCACATAGACTAGTACACACACGGACCAACATGAACCTACTGCACCTCTGAGGAATTATGCAGATTTCAGGCCACATGGGAATATAAAAAAAAGGAACTACCATTTAATAATGAAAATCACATTGTATTATCTAAATCTAGTGTTTTTTATTATCATTGTGGTATCAGAATCTGAATCGGGTATCGAGTCTATGCCTTAGTATCGAAATGGTGACAACGCTGGCTTGTCTAACTGAAGGGTTTGCTTGCAGAGGAAGGGTTGTGCAGTTCTTTCACTTGTGATAAAGATGTTTGTTTTTTGCAGTAACCCTGCCCTGCTTACAGAAATGGCACAGAGCTAATCAAAGATGGAATTTTATTTGTAGCAAATAGGCCTATTTCTAAAAGTTGGCTTTTTGGATTAGTTTGGCCGACAGCATTTCTTCTCAAATGATCAACAGCGTTGGACATCTGTGCAATTCCTCAGTCATCCAGGTAAGATCCAAAGCAACAATTGCAAATGCAAATTTTTTCAGAAACAAATAAAAATCTGTCTTAGCCATATTTGTTTTTATATAGGCAGACCACCCATGACCAGACCATATTTTGGATTCAAGGTAAAAGCTAATACAAAATTCCATGCATGTCTGTGGAAAAGGGACAGCAGATTTTTACACATGGCAGAATGGATGTGTGTTTTTTGTTTGATTTCTGTGAATTTGATATTCAAAGAAAACCTACAGCAAGCTTTGTGATTTGCACAACTGGGAAATCAGGACTGCAGGGAGATTAATGATTTTAATATGTTTCAGAAACTCCTAAACCCTACCACCTCTGTGTGTGTGTGAGAGCCCTAAACCCTACCACCTCTGTGTGTGTGTGTGAGAGCCCTAAACCCTACCACCTCTGTGTGTGTGTGAGAGCCCTAAACCCCACAGCATCTGTGTGTGAGAGCCCTGAGCCCTGGCAGTGGGTGCTTCCTTCATGCTCTGTGTAGGCTCTCTCTATGACGCGGTCAAGCTGTATGCAGAGCACACTCAAATGAGCAGACATTTGCGTACAGCACAGATGGAGGTGCGTGACAGCAGCTTCTGCTCACAGAAATATCCTCATGTTTTACAAACTAGAGTCATTCACACAAGTCAGAGCGGACGGGCTAAGACGGGCCAGAGTGGTCGTCATGTTCACACACGGTCTGTAAAAGGGACAGAGTGGTCGTCATGTTCACACACGGTCTGTAAAAGGGACAGAGTGGTCGTCATGTTCACACGGTCTGTAAAAGGGACAGAGTGGTCGTCATGTTCACACACGGTCTGTAAAAGGGACAGAGTGGTCGTCATGTTCACACGGTCTGTAAAAGGGACAGAGTGGTCATCACAACAATCATACTTTGAATGGTCACGGGAATTGTTTTTGTCTAGGGATGTAACAATAGCCAAATCTGTCGGTACGATATTTTCACGATAGACACCTCAGAGTATGATATTTATTGCAATATTTTTTAGAGGCTAACAAAACTGTGAATATGAAACTTTTTTTTTTTTTTTTACCTTTACAAGAGTTAATCCAAAGAACTAAGAAAGTGCTGAGAACAGTTATTTCTTCATGTACTCTGCTCTGAAAAGAAGCACAGGATCGTGGTCTATATAGTTTCCCTCCCTTTTTGTACCATAACTATTAATTTAAATGAAAACTCTTGTAATTCGATATATATTGTGATGGTCCACGATATTATTGTGAGAACTCTAACAGTACGATATGATATTTCAGTCATTGTTACATCCCCCTTTTTGTCCTAGTAACTGTTTAATTAAAGCTTTTCATACTGGCCTTTTTTATATTTTCTGCAGCAACTGAATCATTTCTCTCAAGGACAGTACACATACAGTATTCTGATTCTGAATCGCCTAAAAGGGAAAGGCTATACTTATTTGAGTAAAGACAACCTCTAAAGAGAGTACGACTGGTGTTGGCACTAACACTGAACAATGTGGAACATAGAATGGCCAATATGTTTTTGTTGCCTACATCAGTGTGAAACTATTTTGGTGTATGTTTCATAGTAATTTTGGTAAGGAAAATCACATAATCAATCACACAACTGAATCTTAGTAAGATGGACAGCACTGGCACTCATGTAGACATATCTGTGAAAGAAAAGAAATCACACTTAGATGTACCATGTTAGATGGTCCATAAGGCCTACACAGAACCTGGGTTCTTCAAGTTCAATTATAATGCTCAGGTAAGATAGAGATGTTGGAGCTGGGGTCAAACCAGGCATACATCAGCTCCATTTGCGTCCTTCGTGATCATTCAAATGGATTCTCTGAGAAGGATGGAGGATTTTCATAAGACAGCACACATTTCCCTACATCTGCACCCAGCCTAGATATATGAAAACAGGGTCACGGGAGCGAGCGCACGCACGCGCAGGCACGCACACACACGCACACACAATCACATCAACAAACAAACAAACAAACAAATAGGAACAATTGTGTGCAACTTGACATATGCAAAATCTAGCCTAGATTCACTATAGCAGCCTATTTTGGTAGAACTAAAGACAGTCCAGTTGTTGATTTGAGGTCCATTGAATGTGTTTTTCAGATCCAGTGATTACAACATATAGGTAATTGGCAAATTATAAAACATATTAAGCTGTAGCTACAACGTCTAACCATAGGTCTAATTCAACAATGGTCTAACTTCAGAACTGACAGACTAGATCCAAAGGAGGGTTAACATCTCATCTAAACACAGACCAACTCAAATATGTTAGGCCTCCAAAATGCGGCTCAATAATGCAAAAAAAAAACAACAAAAAAAAACAAACAAACAAACAAACAAACAAAAACAAAAAACCCTAAACTAAACTAAACTGAGGTGGAGTGGTCACAGACCGGTCTTTCAGCTCTTTGAGCTCCTCTCGGTCTCTGTCCACTCGGGCTCTCGGGTGAGGCTCACAGGTACCTGCCATCAGCCATCACAAAGTCCCCCGGCTCTGACTCACCTGCTCCCGCCTAAGCTGCCGTCCGTCCGTGGGTCAGTCCGTGGGTCCGTCCGTGGGTCAGTCCGGTCTCTGAGCCACTTTCTCGGTGTGTTTTGGTGTGTTTCTCGGTGTTTTATCGCTGATTCTCGCACTCTGTTATCCGCGGCGCTCTTCCTGTTTGTGCTCCCCGCCCTGCGCGCGCACGCCTCACCTGGGCTCGCCGCTGATTGGCCCAAAACCTGACGCACCGGTCCGACCGCGAAACCCGCTGCGCGTGCACGTGCGAGCGGACTGCGGCGCACTTTACGCTGTACGCTGTACGTTCCTCACCTGGATCACGGGATGCATGTCACAAGCGACACGTTTTACGCTAATTCATCATAATAATACCACCACAACAATGTCCACAGTGGAGAGAGAGAGCATTTCCACTCATTTTGATCGTCCTACTAGGTAAAAGAGCAAAAAAAAAAAAAAAAAAAAAAGCGTAAGATAAGATATTTTTTTTATTTGTCCTACAATCGAGAAATTTCAGTGTTGCAACGCACAGTTCAAAAACAGCAAGAGAATACAAATAGGCTCTATTCACATCGTCAAATGAGGTTCATTTGGTCTTCTGATAATTTATGTTTAGGTGTTATGTAATGTTATGTTATGTTAGGTTCTTTTTTCAGACAGTTTGTTTTGTACTTGATATTGATGCTGTTCACTAGCGTCTTCCTCGGAGTGTTCACGTGTTGTTGCTGTGACATGTTTTGGAGCTGTCTTCCTACCGGGGGAGGCAGGATGACAGCGCCATCTGCAGGGATGGGACTATAAACCGGACGAGGGCTTTTTTCCTCTCACACACCTGGGAGACTGTCCTGAGGAAGTCGGACTGCAGATGGCGCTGTCATCCTGCCAACTCCGGTGCACCTCTTGTCAGCTGTTTCCTGGCTACAGTCAAACCAGTCGCTTTGGGACTCTTTTAAGTGTGTTTCTGAGCTGAAGCAGTGAAAAAATAATAATAAAATAAAAATTCGATCTCTATTTCCGATATTTTTTATTAAAGTTATTTCAAATAACACCAATCAAAAAACAGTCTCGGTGCCTATTTTAATTTTGATATTTTATTCTCTCTGGTTTATTTGCCCCGGAGTGTTCTGCTGCAGTGTTCAACAATGACTTTTTTTGTTTGTTTTTTTTAAACAATTACTTTCCAGGACGCGAATGTAAACCATGATGTAAACTCGTCGCATACGACATGTTTGTCCAGAGAATTGCAACAAATTTTCAGTTAAGTCCTTCTAGCAGCAGAACGTCATATAAATCAGAGACTTTGAAATATCCAAATTAAATTAGGCACTGAGACTGTTTTTTGAGCGGTGTTAGCTGAAATAAACTTCAAATTAAATATTGGAAGTAGAGGTCGAAAACTTTTTTTGTTGTTTGTTTGATTGGTTGACACTAAAATACTAGAATAATGAAATAACAACCTGTTTTCCCCCATTGTATTGTTTTTCGTTCTTAATTGAAATTCAGACAGAGAGAGGCTGCAGGGCTTGTCTGATTGTGTCATTATGGTTCTATGTTGTGTGTAGGCCTCTTGTGTAGCTGTGTGCTTCCTTAACATCAAATTCTTTGCAACATAAAATCTAACCTGAACTGATAAACACAGCGCTGGTTTGACGCACAGAATGACCAGTCTGACACATTCAGGTTGCACACATTACATGGATGTGCACACACGTTAGGGGCCATACCGGCTTGTAAAAGCCTGATCCCGTCACATCTCAGAAGCTCAGCAGGGCCGGGCCTGGTTAGTACTTGGATGGGGACACAGGGAAAATCAGGTGCCACAGGAGGGCACCAGTGGGAATAACTGTTGTTGTGTCCTTAGGCAAGACACTTCACCCGCATTGCCAAGTATGAAAGTGGTGTGTGCGTGAGTGATGGTGGTGGTTGGAGGGACCGATGGCACTGATTGACATGGCAGCTGTGCTTCTGTCTGCCCCAGGGCAGCTGTGACTACAGTAGTATCTTAACATCACCTGGTATAGAGTGAATGAATAATGCTGAATAATGCTCTGTAAAGCTTTGTGACAAAAATGTCTGTGAAAAGCACTATATAAATAAAGACTTATTTACTTCTCCTTAATTCCTCTCCTCGTTCCTCCAAGCACAGCTGCCATGCCAATCAGCACCAACGGTCCCTCTGACCACCACTGTCACTCACACACATCACTTTCATCCTACACAATGTGGGTGAAGTGTCTTGCCACTAGCACCAGTGCTAATTTCCACCTGTAGTCCCTGATTGATTGTATTTAACTGACCTTGACTATCAACTTTTTATGGAGACCTGTAGCATGTTTTGGGTTGATGGGGGAAACCGGAGCACCCAGAGGAAACCCATCCAGACACGGGGAGAAACATGCAAACTCTACACAGAAAGGCCCGGACATTAAACCCGAAACCTTCTTGCTGTGAGGCATGAGTGCTAGCCACTCAGCCACCGTGCCACCAAGAAGGAAGGAAGCAAGGAAAAGGAAATGAGATGCAGCCTGTGTCTCCTCTCTCCTCATCTGTTGAGATCTTGAAAGCTTCAGGACTTTCTGAAATGAGTGACAAACAATACTGAACTTTTTCATTTTTTGAGATGCACCTGTGTATATCATGTTGATTTACAAAACTGCCTTTGAGTGGTTTTAGAGTTTCATTCCATTTCAAGACTAAAATCATTTTATGCATTACACCTCTTTGCTAAGCTGATACAAGGTGTGTGAGGTGTCTTGCTCAACAATGCAAGTATACTCTATAAATTACTATACTCTATACTCTAAAAAATACTCTATGTATCAGTTGTCTAGTTATGTAGTGTATCAGTTATCTTTAATTTGATTGTCTTCAAATGCCATTTACCAATCGAACAAGCATGAAATGTTTTTATTTTTTTTTATTTTGAAGGTTATAATTTTACTGGTTGGACAAGAGCATGATTAAATAAAAATACAACTAACTTGTTAAAGGGGTTATTTTACTTCTATGAGGTATTAACTTCTAACACATAACATATATAGATCACCATGTTACCTTTTATTGTTTTGCTGTCTTGAAATTATGTTTATAAGTATCACTTTCTTTCCCCCAGATCTTCAGATCTCTCCAGATCTCTCCAGATCTGGCCTGAGAATGCCTTGGAGTTTCTCCAAGGAGCTGGAGAAAGTGTCCACAGTGAAGGAAGTCTGGGAGTCCCTACTTAGACTGCTCCCCCTATGACCCGGCCCCTGGGAGAAAATGGATGGACTTTCTTTCCCCCCTCCTTTTGACTCCTGCCTTAAGTGCTGTCACAACACAATCAACGTGCATTCCGCTAATGAAACTACTGCACATCACATCAGGTTTGTCAGATTACTGTGTACAGTTTTGTATCATGTCTTTATATATTTATGGAGAATTGTCGTGTTGTGGGCAGAGCCCTACAACTCAAGGTAAGGAGGGTTTGAATAGAGCCTGGGAGAGGTCACTCGATTACTCAAACATACATGGAAAAGAGCTAAAACTTTTTCAGGCATGTTTTTGATGACATGGTAAAAAAATGATTTTGTGTAATATCCCCTTAAAGAACTGTCTTTGCTCAGTTTATTGTTGCTGATGTAAAGATCTCCAGTGCCCCGGTCTGAAGCAGTTGTATCCCAAGATAGAGCGGTCTGGTGAACACAGCACGAGCCTCATGGAGCAGACACAGAGACCCAGATGCTCCATAAACGCAGATCATCCCCGCAGCATAGTCCAAGTACAGGCCTATTCTGGAGCAGATGGGCCCAGGGAGCTGGCTCTCTACTGCCCCGTGCCTAAACCAGAATGAACCATCACGCAGGTACAGCGCCCATGAGCTCACATTGTCCCCAAACATCTCCTGGTCTTCTGCTGTCAGATTTTTGTAGGTGAAGGCCACGCAGAACATGCTGGAGGAGTAGGTCATCTCCAAGTAGCACTTGCCACTCAGAGCCCCGGCACTGAATACTTTGAGGCGGCTCGTGAACACTGGCTTATCGTGCAAACCAAAATCCAGCATCTTGGAAAGGACCAGGGATAACTCAGCTCTTTGGTTTTCCTTTGACAGTGGGATGTGGATATTTGGTTCTAATCTGATGTCATGGAAATGTTGAACAAGCTCCTCTGTGGTTGTAGGGGCTTGTCTCAGGAAAGCACCCACATCTTCCAGAACTAGTGAAATCTTTTCACATTTCTCAATTAAAACTTCAGTCATCTCCTTGACAGCATCTTGTGTATAGGCTAGCACATCTCTGAAGTAGTTGTGTGGTGGTATGTAGCATGGTTTGGGGTCTGGAGAGACATATGCAGGACAGAGTTTCAGATAGTGGGCATGGTCTTGTGTGTTTGACAGGATGTGTAGCTCCGCTTGCTTCATGTTGAGCTCATGTCTTTCCTGCTCCATAACTGCTGCCATGGCTTTCAGTGAGCTCACCACCGCTCTCCTCTTCGCCTCCACCTCACGCTTCACTTTGATACTCCTAATGCTGATGAGGTCTACGGTCTTGCTGAAGATGTCCTCAACCTCTTTCAAGAAGCTGTCAGCAGACTCATCAAAAACCTCCATCTGGTGGTTGATCATGTCCACATGGTTGTCTGTGGTCTGGAGATGGCGCTGTAGGTCCATTTCCTGTTGCCTCTGCTGCTCCTCCCTCTCCTCTGCTGCAGGCACTGTGTCGTGGGTGCGGTGCTGGTCCAGAGAACACAGGTAGCAGATGCACTGCTTGTCCGTGCGGCAGTAGATCTTCAGGGGCTCGTGGTGCTGTGAGCACGTGTCCTGAAGCAGGCTGTGGCAGGGTTGGACCAGGGTGTGTTTCTGGAGGGCAGGGGCCTGCTGGTGCAGCTGGAGGTGTAGGTGGCAGTAGGAGGCCAGGCACTGCAAACAGGACTGGAGCGCAGGTTTCTTGGGCTCCACACAGATGGAACAGCAAACAGAGCTGCCTGAGTCTGGACAAAACATACAGGGTCAAAACCATGGCCATCCTCCACAACTGGTGAAACATAAACCTTCTCATCTTCTAAAGTTGAAAGATTTTATGCATACCGTTGAACATTTTTGGCAAAAATATTTAGCACGTGTTGGCAGCAGACCAAGTATTTAACTTTTTTTTTTAGCAAAAAGAAATAATTTACTGTTACTCTGAAAAGACATAGTAGCAGTAACTGTCTGTTTAAATATATGAATGGTTATGGCCTATTTCTTTAATAAAATTAATCATTTCAGGTTAGAAAAGGTGACTACTGGAATGATTCCCATAATGGGGAATCATTCCAGGAAAACATTAACATATCAATGAGACAACATTTTAACTAAACACATAGTGCCCTCATAACAGTTACATCAGAAATTAGATATTATTCAACAATAATATCTTGAATGACTAAAGCCCTCACACATACCTGATCCAGACCTAGAGGCAGACCTAGAGGCAGGCTCATGGCTGATGTGTTTGCTGAGTTCCTCCAGAAGATCTGCCATCAGGGTGTTTGTGGCGAGGATTGGCCTGTGGGGAAACCTGTGCCTGCACTGAGGACAGAGGCAGTCCTTCTCTGCATCTGCCCAGTATCCCTCCACACAGTCCAGACAGAAGCTGTGTCCACATGGGAGGCTCACTGGACGTCTGAGCACCTCCAGGCATATGGCACAGAGCATCCTGTCCATCGACACCTGCCCCTCTGCCATGTCCACATTAAGTCCAAGACTGCACCAGCACCGTGTTCAGACCAAGTCCAGTAGTAAAGACACCATCCCTCTTATCAGAGAGGACTTTGATAACAGTACTGCTATAAATGTAGATCATGTGGAAGAATGACTGTATTTTTGGCAAATAATTGACAGAGAAGCTACTGACAGGGGCATCAGTCAGGTGCTATTAACCGGTTGATTTCCTGTAGTGGTGCATTATCAAGAGTGAACAAACGGGCTTAAGTTTACAGAGAAATGTGGAGACCATACCTGACAGTTCTGTTTTGTTCTATGTTGGTCACAGTTTCACAGTGGCAAAAATGACTGAATAGGATAAAACTCTGGTTAAAGGTTAAAACTAAAGCATGTTCCTGACTCATGGTTCAAAGTCTCAGGGCATTCAGCTTCTAGAATAGAGCTTCTCAAACTGGCACCTGTGGAAGAGCATGAAGTGCTTATGGTTATAATATTTGCTTCTTTTCTATTGTAGTTAATTGTGTCCACATTTTGTCCTCTTTTGGGAAATTATATGATTAAAACTACTGTATTGTTTTGCATTCTTATTTTAGACACATTTAAACGTGAAATAGTCCAGTTAGAGACGTGGAATAAATACCTAAGAAAGCCTAGTTGTTGTTAAGATCTATGTGACCAGTGTCCCAAAACACCGCCAAGGGTTGTCAAAGCATAGATGCAAAAATGGGACTAATTAAACCATATCTGAAGATGCGCTGCAAGAAACACACATGTTCAAATCATTCCATATTGTTACCAAAAGGTTTTTAGACTTACTCACAGGGGACATGAAAACAATTGTCACTGGGCAAAGAATGCAACCAAAATTCGAGGCAGTTCAGAAGACATTTATTATGCACCTCCATGGCACACACACGCACACACACACACACCATGCTGCAGCCACAGTGTAAACATTGAAAGCACTTTAAGGCCAGGCATCAAACCACACGTTTCCAAAAATAATAATACAGTGTTATAGAATACATATATGAGGTCATCACTCTGGGACATTCAAGACAAAACAGAACTGTTCTACAAAGGTTTGGCCAGTACAACCTCCTGGAATGTCATTTTGTAAACTTTATGGACTGTGGTGGTTGGGAAAATGATTTCATAGTGAGTATTAATAGCCTGGATCGGTATGTATGACCCTCTATCCCTCTTGTAAAATGTTGAAGGTACAGACCGGTCCCGGAAGCAGATTCTGCAAACTTTGGCAACTCCACAAAATGCATCATAAACTCAAGTGTTCATATAATGGTAAAAATATTTCACACAGTCTGTGAATAGGGAAAAAAATATTAAACTTATTCTGTAGTTTACATATGTAAATGTAAGGGATTGGGAATATATGTAGAATATTACAACTTTTCATATAAAAATTCTTGCAAAAATTCAAACTTGCCCTAATTTTTGGAAGAATTAAAACTTTCCTAAATCCGACTTTGAATCGTACAGAAGGATTTGCTTATCTAATTCAGTCTCGTAAGGTCGTAAGGTCTCGTTTGGTGTATGTAGGTGCTGCTGGTAAGAGGGTCCTTATGTCCCTATGAGAAAAATGAATTTGGAGATAACAGCCTTTGAAGTGACACTGCCCCATAGAACTCCATGGGTGATTAAGTGGATCAAAAAATAAATAAGCAAATAAAAACATATTTTGGTGCAGATTAGTCAGTTATTTATGGGTGAAGGTTAATATGTTGAACAAAGAAGAAAATGAAATTAAATAAGTTTTGCTTATTAAGTGTGGCAACTACTGTATGTTCCCAGTGTGTCCAGTAGAGGGCGCCATGTCACTCAACAAAACAGGATAGTTTCTAAAGCGGGATGCAAGAGGGCCCGGAACCTGAAGTAAAATCATGGATTCTTAAATGAGATTTGAAATGTGTATGACTTGATTTAGCTATGCTTGAGTGAGAGGCTGTTCAGTCCTGGCTAGACCATACTAGACCATACTAGAGTGTCACTGGGGCTTAAAGGGCCTATTCTGGTCAACTCTTTTATAGTCTTTTTTTCAATTACAGAAGTTTTAATTTCTAAAAAAAAAAAAAAAAAAAAACTAGAAAAAACATGCATTCTCGTGGTGAGGAGGATCATCTAACCACAGATCTGACCAGTAACTGACTTCACCTCTTTGTCTCCATGGAGATATAAGAGTGTAATGCCATACTGTGGGACATTCCAGGTTATGCAATATCTCTGTTGAGATGAGCAAAAGTCATAGTGCAGTAATATAATTTTGTAATATCATTTTTAGGTATGAAATTTAGCAAAATATCTTTACTTCATAACATATTTAGCTGTTCAGAAGAGTACAAAAGTACAAGTATTTTTGCTCATCATTCAACACTTCCTGAAATACCTAAGGGGTTTATTTATTTTTTGTGAATTCATCTATGGTTAAAATCCTGCCTCCATCTTTTGAGGTCAGTCCCAGCATTAGCACAATTCTGTATCAAGATCACCACATTTGACCCAGAAGTAGTTCTCAAAATCTGTGTGAAATACATTACATTTGATGTCATAATTTCATTTGGAAAGCACTGGACATATAACTCTATGGGAGAGTCAAAGTTTTTAAAGAAATGTCCATACTTAAAATACTCAAAGAATAAACCCTATTTGTTGAACAGGCACACAAAATATAGGCATTTGAATAATGTTATCAGTTTTAATACTAGTGTAAGGTTTGGGGCAGTTGTCGTGTCTTGTGGATTGGCCCATTATATCCATTATTGGCCCACCTCATTATAGTTAATCATAAACTATGTCAAGGTGCATTTTTACTTTTTTAGATAAATTCTACTACACAATTGATATCTGTCTGCTTGCTCAGTGTGAAATAACTGGCTTATTAGATGTTACCCATTTGTGCATATAATAGGACTGTTATAGCACTAGTTGTAAAAATTAAATTATGTCTGGGAACTGCCTTATGACAAAGGACAAACAAACATGCACCAAGGCTAAATGGAAAGTAGGCAGGTCTAGGGTGGGGTGGGGAGCAGCTGATTGGTCGCTTCCTGATGCTGTCTAACATGCACACTTCTTCTCATTGGTCTGTGGGGCACCGAGCTTGGCCGCTCCCGTCCCATTGGCTGGTTCAGCAGGAGGTTTGTCCACGCACTGCTCCATCCTCTTCATGACCAGGTCCAACAGCGTGATGACAGCCTTGTCCACCTCCACCCCGGTGGCAGCACTTGTCTCAAAATATGGGATCCTGGAAGGGACAAACATACTTTACTTTGTGAAGCAGAACCTTTAAAATGGTAAATTTCCAGAACCAACATCAGATCTAATGACTAATGAAACTAGTTTTTGAAATTCTAGAGTAATGTTATTTATTTTATATAAACAAAGATTGAAAATACAGTTTTCTACCCTCCAAATAGTATTTTAGGGTTGTATCTGTGGTCCTGTAATTGTATCTGTAGATACAATGAAAAACTATGAAGGGGTTAACAATTTTCCGTAAAATCTAAAAATTACAATTAATTAAGATCACGGTTAACTAAATCAAGTGTAGTGCAGTTCATTGAAGCTCCCAAATTTTTATTTCATCAACATCGACATCGACAATGTGACATTTCAGGCCAAGCCCTTCTTCAGACAGGCCCTGCTTGGCCTGAAACATCACATGGTGGTGTCAATGAAATAAAAATGTGGATGCTTCAGAGTACTGCAGTGAGGATCTCTTTCCTTTTTTGTACTATTTTTGTTGGATGTGCATGTCTTTATCTAGCAGTCTTATTCCTAATGTTAAACATTTCTGATATATTTGTGTATTTAGAGGATATTATGGAAAGACAGTGGGGAAAGACACTGCTTGACATTAACTGAATACAGGCAGGTATTATGACTTGTGCATATTTACCAAATGATGGCTTTACCAGTTACGTGACTTTCTGTAAGAAAATGCATCATGACTTAAGCATCAAAGCAGAGTGAGTAAAGTGAGCAGAGTGAGAGGACCAGAGTGAGCAGTGTGAGCAGAGGAGAGGAGAGTGACCACAGCAAAGTGAGCAGAGCAAAGTGAGCAGATGACCTACCCATACTTATCGGCCAGCTCCTTAGCCTGTTTCTCCTGGACCTCCCTCTGATCTGCCAGGTCCGCTTTGTTTCCTATCAACACGATGTCCGGGTTTTCACAGTAGGCATTGGCCTGCAGCTGACCTGGAACAACAAACATGAGCCCAGTCACATGACCCATCCCAGTGTGCTTATTCTGACTCAACACACATAATGAGCCCCACATCACATAACTCCTCCTGTGGGCCTGCTGGTACATGTCTTTGGAGACAAGCAAATAGCACAACCACCAGAAAAGTTACATGGTGCACTTTTTTTGCAGTTTTTATATTTTAAAAACAGCTTTTTTGCAGTTTTAAAATATAAAAAAATGCAAAAAGCTGCAAAACTAAACAGAACAGTAATAAATAAGAGGTGATATCACTGAGCTTTTAACATGACAAATGTTAAGATGGTGGACCCTCCCTAGAAAACTTACACAGTGCACCTTTAAAGAAACAAAACCACTGGCTGCCAATTGAGAACAGCAGTGGCTGATTTCCGACCGCTCATTTATGGTAGATCACCACATGTCATCACAACAAAGTGACGAATAGCTGGAGTTCAGAGTAGGGAGCAGTGGATTTTTAAACAATCTGCACCAAATAAGTCCCGAGCAGTGAGCATGTATGTGGGGTAAGGGAAATGCATGAGGTATGGTTGTGTGGAACATACTCATCCAATTGCGGACGTTGAGGAAGCTCTGCTGGCTGGTGAGGTCAAACATGAGCAGGAAGCCCATGGCGTCTCTGAAGAAGGCAGTGGTCAGGCTTCGGAACCTGCACAAGAGACACACACACACAATGAGTACGTAATCACTGACCACGTGGGATACTCTCATGGTGATGTCGTCAAACACACACATGAATTACATACATTTCCCCAAGACTGATCCTGATCATAATGACTCTTTGTCTAACCTAAAAAAGTGCTCTGTCACAGGTCTGCCATGCCAACTTACAGTTAGAATGTGTGTGCTTTCAAGGTATTATGTGTAACTGAATAAATGCACGATAAATAGATTTAATGCCATACTGTAACTTGATATGATACATGTCCTGATACGTCTCGTTTGGTTCTTGGCGAGAGCGGATGCTTTTTCTCTCCTCTCCTGCCCCTTATCTTCCCTGCTTTGCTTCTTTTGTCTTGTCTAGTCTATCTACTTTTGAGAGACTCTCTGCTCTGCTCTTCCAAACCTAAATTAACTATAGATTTGATAAGTTGATAAGTCTCAACGCAATTGATATATATATTTTTTGTGACGATGAACGCAGGTTGTCCCAGTCCGTGGAGGACATAGAAGACATTTACCTTGTCAGAACCATGATTGCAGGACTTTTGCTGATTGGATTTTTCGGAAAATTCAGATTACTGAGGCAGCTTTACTTGAATGACTGAAATGAGGGGCTTAACGGTGAGCACTTGAATTTGTGACTAAGGGGCAGGTTTGCTGTCATTGACCGCTGGTTGGATGGACATGGTAGCTCTAAATTACAATATTGGATAACATCTTGGAGAAAACTCAAAGGTTTGCAAAGAGAAATGGACTTGATACCTATATATGGACAAAAACGAATGACAAATACTCAACCCCTCGCAGCTTTGCACATCCAGCCTGGTGGGCATGTCTGTTGTATCCAGCGCCCAGTGGCTGTGGATCCAGATTGCTGCTGCCTACGTTGGGGTAACTCAGTGCTTCTCAAATAGTGAGGCTCCGTCAAGGGGGGCGCGTTTGACCTCGGGGAACATGCTTTTTTATTTGCGCTTGGCTTCACTGTGACTACGGTGGGAGACGAGGAAAGACCGGTGTGCTTACTGTGTCTAAAAATGTTGGCAGCGGACAGCATGAAGCCCAATAAATTAAGGCGTCACTTAAATACATTACACCCCAATCACTCTGATAAGCCGTTTGAGTTTTTTCAGCGAAAACGTGCCGAATATTGCCGACAATCATCCCGCTTTGTTACTGCTACTTCAGTAAACCAGCGAGCATTGTTGGCATCATATAAGGTGGCAGTGTTATGGAGAGGTGTACTTATAACAATTTTATAGACAAATGATACTATTTATAGTCACGCGGGGGGGCACGAGATGTTTTATTCTTCCTAGGGGGGAAATGACAGAAAATATTTGAGAAGCACTGGGTTAACTCCACATTCCTCCCTTACCCAGTTGCTAGTTCTGTGAAATGTTTGTACCGTGTTTTGACTAAGTGCTGATGTCGCGGAGGTGTTTTCACTCTACCATACTCAGCCCTGAAAGGAGCATGGTCTGGGGCTGTTCTTTTTTTTCTACTCCCCGTCTCCTCATGTTATGCTGCTCCCTGTCTTCCCCATACATTCTATTGTATGTTTGTAATGGACGGATGGGGTGACGGGTCCAATTTTGATTTCTTTGTATGTTCACGTACAAATAAAGGCCATTATTCATACATATCCACCCCAGCCACAAAAAGATCACAGTACACATGTATTGATACGCCAAGAAGTCCGGAACAATTCATATTGATACAATATAATACAATATATTATATACACGCACGCACACACACAGTTTCAGCTATACTAAAAGCTAGAATCGAAACCAGATACTAATTCGAAGAGCTATACGGTAACTGGTTAAAACTGACCTTCTGAACAGTTTCAGAAGAATCTTGAACTTCATCAGAACTAGTATATGATCTCATTATAATATAAAGAAATTTGTATTTTTTTCTTCATTTTGGTATCAAAATCGGTATAAACTATAGAGTCAATTTCCTAGCGTCAAAATAGAGTTTGAAAATTTTGTATCATGACACATTACAAAAGATTGTTCCAAAAGATAAACAGAGCGAAAACATAGATGGTGCAGTGTGTGTGCATGTCCGTGTGTGTGCGTGTGTATGTGTGTGCATGTCTCACCTCTCCTGTCCCGCGGTGTCCCAGAGCTGGAGGTGCACTTTAAAGGTTTTCCCTGCGGTGGTCCCGTTAGGGTTGGACGCGGTGTAGACCTGAGGAACAGAACAGGCATTTTCATTCAAACAAAATCTCTTTTTCTCAAATAAGTCTATGCATTAGTGATTGACCCATATAGCTACTCTGTGGAGGAAACACATTTCGACCACGTGTATCCGCGATCTTGTTCTTTCGATCATTACCCAGAGCTCATAACCATAGGTGAGGGGGGGAACGTAGACTGACCAGTAAATCGAGAGCTTTGCATCACTGCAGACGCTGCACTGATCTGCCTGTCAATCTCACGCTCCTCAGTCATGAACAAGACCCCGAGATACTGAACTCCTCCACTTTGATTATTTTCCCCAAATTCTGTCATTTAAATTTACTACAAACTCCCCCACAAGCTTTTTCTTCAAATACCTACAAGACAGCAGTGTAGTGTGCAGTTTCCTCTCTACATTAAAGTGTTCAGACAAATTTCTGTAGGCAGCTGGTTTGCCAAAACTACATAATTGGCCAGTGCTGGAGATTTTAAATCCATAACCCATATGTTAAAAAATGTAAATATCAGCCCAATATATCAGCCAAGTTACTGTTTGTTAGGACAGGATCCATAACCGTAGACCTGTCACCATAACACATTTTTATCGATGATACTTTACTACAGATACTACAGATTCTAAAACACAAGTGAACTTAATAATTGTCAACTCTGTCAGATGTAATCATTGTAATAAGGTCTATTTACTATTGTGTCCTATTGAAGTGGGTCTGGTCAAGCAGTAACGGAGGGAAACAGGCAGATTTTTGACATTCAAATGTGTCTTATTCAGAAACTAGAGGGACTATTGAAATAAGTAAAGTATCAGAATGTAGGAAAGAGTTACACTCCAACAGGGTCAAGTTAAACCTGTGATATTCTTTCAAGTTGTTGACAAAAAATTTTTAAAACTCATGTCGGTAACGGAGGGAATGAAATATGCAGCACTTTTTGGGCAATAAATCCAAACAGTGATAACTCTTGGTTCTCACTTACATATCCTTAACAAACTGGTTTGAATATTTGCTTCATATAGTTTCTACCATATGGTACAAGATTAGGTTGAAAAACCTCTTACTTTTTGAGTCATGAGATTTTTTATTAAGAAAGGTCATGGTAACGGAGGGAAAAGTAACGGAGGGAAAATTGTACAAACAAGTAGAAGGTGCAGGATTTTGCATAATTTGTCGCTTTTTTCTTCCGAATACTTTAATATTACTTCAAAATGAAAGAAAACTATTTCTATAAAATATGTCAGTCCTTCCAAGCAAATTTTGATCATTTTAAATACATTTTTTTTTGTAAAATCATGTACCTTCATCAACAGTTCAAAGATGGAATAACACAAGATATGATGAAATACATCCATTTATTTACATGATTTGCAGGTCTTTGAAATTTGGGAAATAATTTTTGTTCCATGTTTCATACATGGTCTGTTTAAAACATATGGAACTTTAGAACCAAAACTGGTACAGAAAAAGGGTCAACAGTTTCATAAACTAGAGTACATATGTATCTGTTCAATACATTTTTATATCAGATGCATTATATATATATATATATATATATATATATATATATATATATATATATATATATATATATATATATATATATATTTATTTATTTATTTATTTATTTATTTATTATGATGACATAAAACACATTTCTGCAAATACTTAAACAACAAACTTAATTGCAATTGTCAAAATTCATGTCTGTGAACTTCACAAGTGTGAATCACAAATGTGAAAATTAAGAGTTTTATATCATTATGGATCCCTGTGGTTACTCACACCATATTTTGCAGTTTACATGCAGTTTAAAGACTGTAATCTTAAATCTGCAGAAATTGGATTATACAGTAATCCAGTGGCGAGGCGTCAGGGCCTGCAAGGCCTTCTCTGCTGGCCTAAAAAAAATATCTGAATCACAAACTGTTGTGAATTATATTATTATTTTTAAATAATTCCTTTCAGATCTTTTCCAGTGGTTGTGCTGCTTCCAGACATGTATTTTCATATTAAAGCATTTGACCAATCACATTTCAGCCGTCACTTGTTGATAGGCAGAGTTAAAGTCAAAGAGTGTGCCTGACGCCTTCACAATCTGTTCTGAAGGCCCTCGAACATAAAATAAATGTCCATGAAGCTGTTGCTTCAACCAATCAGATTTTGAGTTGGTATCGTCAGGGCCTACTAGCAGACTGGATTCAGACCCGCTGATTGGACAGTCAGAGCGTGAACCAGCCAAAGCAGAAAACTGCATCTGTAGCAGAACAAGGTCTAAACCAGGTCTAAACCAGGACTAAACCAGGTCTAAACCAGGACTAAACCAGGTCTAAACCAGGACTAAACCAGGACTAAACCAGGACTAAACCAGGACTAAACCAGGACTAAACCAGGACTAAACCAGGACTAAACCAGGACTAAACCAGGATTAATCTTGGACTTGAGTGAGAGTGAGAGAGTGTCTGCAAAGCGTGATAGGGCGACAGCTGCACTGAGCCCCATGCTGCTCCCGGCACAGTCCTTTTGTCTGCGGTCACCCAACAGTCTACGCGGGCACACCTTCGGGCCAGTCCCGACAAACAGTCCTGGTTTAGTTCTGGTTTAGTCCTGGTTTAGTTCTGGTTTAGCACTCCAGCGCTCCTCATTTCTTCTCCGTGCACCACACGCTCTCCTCTCCTCACTTCTCTGTGCACAGAATCTCCACAGCTCTTTATACTGTGTATAATGTAACCATAAAATAAAATGTTACTGAGGAGGAGTATTGAGGACTTTTTCAGATGGAGCACTACTGACGGTCTAGGTGTGAAATGCACGCTCCACCACTGCAGTAATCAGATGTCATGTAACCAGTGTCAGTGATTTTACACATTTTCCTTTGCAATAGGCCCTTTGAGGTCATCGGTCACAACGGTCAAAACACAAATATTGTTTGAGCAGGAAACACAACACATACTAGTTGAGGAAGTAAAAATGTAATATTCTGTGTGAAAATGTACACAAAATAAATACTGAGCCCTGAGATTTATCAATCCATCTTTCATTTGTTGAACCTTAAGTCGATATAATCTTCCTGACAGGCCTCACAATCGGGTACCTGGACTTCAGTGACGTTCATATGGCAGGTAAGTCTATACTTCAACTTCTCACTATGATTATACTAAAGGCAGTTAGCCTTGTTTGGCCTCATTTTGGTTTTTACTCTTATTCCTAAATTAGCTGAAGATTTGGAAGTTTAATCTTCCTTTAATATAAATACACTTAAATACATACTTTTTCTATTTGAATAGTGCAGTTTTGGTAAGACAGATACTAATCATAGAGCTTTTTAGTCGACTACTAGATGGCAGGGCATGCCAGCCCTTCTGTACTCATACCCACAATCAGTGTTATGTCACTTCAGTACACTCACCACTCTCTTTTCCCTGAAGTCGATGCCCACTGTGGTGATGAACTTGGGGTTGAACTTGTTGTCTGTGTAGCGGTACAGGAAGGTGGTCTTGCCCACACCGGAGTCACCCAGTGCCAAGAGCTTGATCAGGTAGTCATAATCCCCATCGGTCATAGTGAGGACTGAGAGAAGCCTGCAGACACACAGCACAGCACACTTACATAAGCACAAGGTCAGGCCATGTTTATAGTGTAATCCATAAGGAAAAGGGTGGGTTTGTAGGCCAGCCAAGTTGAGGACCACTGCTCTGAACCTCACACAAGACAACAATAACTTACAATAACAGGGTTTCCTGGGAAACAACCAGCTGACAGCATCTCCATGGCAACGCCCACCACCAGGACCCTCCACACATTGCATACATAAACAGAAATCTGTCACTTCCTTACATTATGTTGGTTAATTCTAGATAGAGGGCTAAGCTTATTGGCCCTGGGGGGGGGGGGGGGGGGGGGTTCAGTGCCTTGGGCGTTCTGTCAGTATGTTGCGTCTGGGGATCTACACACATGGAGCTGGGATTGGTCAGACTGCCTTGGGATTGGTCAGACTGCCTTGTGTTTTAAGTTAGTACTGGTTAGGGATACAATAATGACATTATTAATACTGCAATGTTTAATACGACCTATATACATGAATAGCACTGTAGAATTTCCCCTGGGAGTGGATAAAAGTGATTCTGTGTTCAGCTCCTGGAACACAATGACACTGCCCCTTTAAATATTCACCAATTAAAGTGATGTTTATTGTTAATTTCTTATCATTTTCTTCTTATTGAAAAGTAATGATATGTCCTGGTCTTTATATCTTTTCACTCTACTGGGCAGGCTGGGGCTGTGCTGATAGAGGTCTGAAACAAATACAAAGCACAGCAGGTGTAATTAAAAATGAATAAGCCAAGGAAGTCTGCACACCACTCTCACAGTGAACACAACCACATCACCACAACAACAACATCCACATCATCCACATCATCCACATCATCCACAACATCCACAACATCCACAACATCCACAACATCCACAACATCCACAACATCCACATCATCCACATCATCCACATCATCCACAACATCCACAACATCCACATCATCCACATCATCCACATCATCCACAACATCCACATCATCCACATCATCCACAACATCCACAACATCTACAACATCCACAACATCTACAACATCCACAACATCCACAACATCCACATCATCCACATCATCCACATCATCCACATCATCCACAACATCCACATCATCCACAACATCCACAACATCCACATCATCCACAACATCCACAACATCCACATCATCCACATCCTCATCATCCTCATCATCCTCAACATCCTCAACATCCTCAACATCCACAACATCCACATCATCCACAACATCCACATCATCCACATCATCCTCAACATCCACATCATCCACATCATCCTCAACATCCACATCATCCACATCATCCTCAACATCCACATCATCCACATCATCCTCAACATCCACATCATCCACATCATCCTCAACATCCACAACATCCACAACATCCACAACATCCTCAACATCCACAACATCCACAACATCCACATCATCCACATCATCCTCAACATCCTCAACATCCTCAACATCCACATCATCCACATCATCCACAACATCCACAACATCCACAACATCCACAACATCTACAATATCCTCAACATCCACATCATCCACAACATCCACAACATCCACAACATCCACAACATCCACAATCATCCACATCATCCACATCATCCACAACATCTACAATATCCTCAACATCCACATCATCCACAACATCCACAACATCCACAACATCCACAACATCCTCAACATACACATCATTCACAACATCCTCAACATCCACATCATCCACAACATCTACAACATCCTCCACATCATCCTCAACATCCACATCATCCACAACATCCACATCATTTACATCATCCACAACATCTACAACATCATCCTCAACATCTACAACATCCTCAACATCCACATCATCCTCAACATCCACATCATCCACATCATCCACAACATCCACAACATCTACAATCATCCTCAACATCCACATCATCCACAACATCTACAATATCCTCAACATACACATCATTCACAACATCCTCAACATCCACATCATCCACAACATCCACAACATCTACAACATCTACAACATCATCCACATCATCCACATCATCCTCAACATCCACATCATCCACAACATCCACAACATCCACATCATCCACATCATCCTCAGACCAGGACCAAACGAGGAGTGTGAATGCACCCTCAAGTACCTGCTTCCTACTTCGCAGATCGAACATCTGGTAACCCCATTTTTTGTTGGCTTTGCCATACTGGCTACAACAGCAAGACAGAGCCTTGATATTGGTTTTGTAGCAGTAAGGAATGTCATAAACAACATCTCCAGAATGTGCAGTGATCAGAACACAATTCTGTCTGTGGAGTCTTCAGAGCAAACTGTTTTTATCCAAAAGGCCATATCGTCAGCTTCACCTCTGTCTCCTTCAGTCAGAGTCAGATTGGACACATGTGCCATTACTCATTAACTCCATCCAGCCTCGTCACACTGACCTTTGGTTGCAGGGATGAGAAGAGAGCAAGACTTCTGACCTTATCTTAAACCTCAGATTGGTTTGGCTTTTGGCTCAGACACAAATCCAGTTAGCTCAGTCGATAAAGCCTGCCCTGCTGTAACCAGGCCCCTGATCGTATATAGCAAATACAGTCAGCAACAGGGTGTCACCTGTACTCCAGAGCATCCCCAGAGAAACACGTTTGGGGAACAGGACTCACTCCTGTAGACAACCGGAAGGGCCTGATTAGTTTGTCCTCATCTACAACTGTTCAAATGTATTCTTTTACCATTTTGGAAAAGAAAAGGACAGCGCATATTAATGTGCTCATGTATGATAAATATGCTAGATTTTAGCCAAGCTAGTTTCTATTTTCAGTCCCTGGACTGGCTGATGGAAATGTTAAAATCACATTGAACAGAAAACACAAATATATGACAGGCCACAAACCACAAAAACTTACAACAGCAAAGTAAACACAAATGGAATGGGGGGGCTGGAATGTGAGAGTTGGGATGTGGGAGTTGGGATGGGGCTGGGTCTGCTGCTGTGCTCTTGAGTTTGCATCAGTATGGTGCACACTAACCCCTGGGGTAGTCCCCCAGCTGCTAAAAGGTCAGTGTGAATGAGAGACAGGGGACCAGGTGCAAGTTTTGTCCTGGTATTGATCTGGTTTATTCCTAGTATAAATCTGGTACGGTTCTTCTGATTTAGCCCTGGTTTAAATGTGCTTAAGTCCTTTTACTCCTGTTACAGTTTAACAGTGTAAAGTTTAATTGACAGTAAAAGTGTAATTGATAGCTAAAATTGTTGGTTGCTCCTCATCTGGGAGTATGACATCATTACATTTAGATTCCAAATGTGCAGCATGTGGAGTGAGCCTTGTGATTGTTGGTTTAAAGTAGCTTCACCTTGAATCACACAGTTATTATTATGATCTTTTCTGATCTTTACATCTGTTCTGAGGGAAGGAGCAAGAGGAGGAGACCTGATGGCGTCCACAGTGGGAAATGACTTTATTAAATATTAACAGCTGTGTGATGTAAAGACTGGGAGCTGTGGCTGTATATAAACCGCTGGCACTGGAAAAGCTGCTCATCAGACCAGTCTGGATCCATATTGTTCATTATTAAAAGGAGACTGGAAACTGGCTTCTCACTATACTGTACTCTGGGCTTCCTCTACACTAACATTCATGTTTCAGTGAGGTGGGTACAAAAGACATATTTTTTTTACTGAAAAAAAAAAGTTAAATAATCAAGTAGAAGGACAAAGTAGTAGCCCAAGAAATTACTCAAGAGTAACTGCCAGGATATAACAATTGATTTTTAATTTGAAAAATCATATCATCGTGCTGGAGTGCTACAAGAAATGCAAATTCATATTGCCATCCACATAAAGCTTTTGACACTTGTAGACATAGGTCATTTTCACATTCTGGACAGATCCCAGTGCTCACTAGATATAGTTCTGTTTATTTTACTTTTTGAGTTGGCTTTGTTCACTTACACCATGCATCTTTCACCCCAAACACACACTATGACACTATGAGCCACGTGAGGCATCTGCTGAACACTGAACTTCGTACCAAAACAACGTGCTTCAAGCAGATAGAGCCCTGTGAGTGCACATTCACTTCCTCAGCACTGTATGAGGTGGTCTTTTTGGAATATACATGTATATATGACATAGACAGCATTAAAAAAAAAAAAAAAAAAAGTTTGAACAACACAGAGACAGACCCAGGCTCACCAGCGCAGACGGGGGCAGGAGGAGATGCAATGGTGATAAGAAGTTTCAAGTGCTCTCAGAGCTTTCAGTGCAAGCCAATGTGTCTGTGATGTTCACTCCAGCCTAAGTGCACCACTCTTAGAGCGTATGCTCTCTTACGTCTACCGAACTAGGGTCATGTGAAAAAGGCCTTACTCACAGTGGTAACCAAAACTTTTATTCCAGTAGGTTGTGCTACAGTGGTACGTCCTGTTTGGCTTCAAAAGAAAAAAAAAAAAAAAAAAAAAGGAAACGAAGCCCCACACCAATCAGAAGTCAAACCCGACACCTTCTGGCTGTGAGGTGGAGTGTACCATGCTCCCTAAAGGAGAAGACCTCAAGGGCGTTACAAAGAAAACAAACACTGGAAGCTCTCTGAAAATATGGGTCTGTGAGAAAAGCCTTTAGGATATTTGTGACCTCCTGCTGCTGCTCTTGTACTTAAATGGTGCAAACCTGCACTTTTCCCATTGTATGAAGTATCTTATCTGATGATTTTTTAAAAAGGCATATATTATTATTTTCTGTCTTCTGTTCTAATGTTGTTTCGTCATCACAAGCATTCATGGAGTTTTGTTTTGTTTAATTCACATGTTTAACACAAACCCTGCACATTTATGCAAAGTTCTTCTCTTAAACAGAAAACACATGCACTCTGTGATGTCAGGTGGTGTCTCCACTGTGTTTTTAAACTCCACAGACCTTCACTCAAATCATTTGAAACTGCCAATACAAGAGTCACATTGTAATATAGGACTTTTAATGAGTATAATGTTCCCTTATGGACAAATAAAGGTTTTTCCACATAGATCCAGAGTAATTCACACATTTGTTTGAGCTTAGTGGCACAACTGTCAACGCGGTGCTCACAATGGTGACTTTTGTGGACAGAAATGTGATTAGATGAGGCACATGAAAGCTCACAGCAGTCCTGTGACTCCCATGTCTCATCTGTCCAATCACAGCTGGTGTTTAAAGTGCATGTCTTAAAATATGGAAGACACACCTTCACTCACTGATTCTGCAGAAGTCAGATGTTTTTAAGTCACCTTTTTTACTCATAAGATGCCACTGATTTGATACAAACCCACCATGCGTTTTGTGCCTGTCAATCACAGCCCTCAGACCTATATACTTATATATTCATTCACACACACACACGCACTCACACACACACGCACACACACACACGCACACACGCACACACACACACACACGTACCTCTTTTTGAAACTAGAAAACAGTGGCCCAAGAAATTCTAAAACTACTACTCAGGTAGTACTCAAGTAATTGTCGGGATGTTACATCTGATTTATCATCTGAAGTTTATGCAATTTGAAAAACAAAACCTGAAAATCAGGTATTTTTGGATACACACAAAAATGAGACAATATCTGAAGGAGCTGCTAGAAACACAAATGTTCAAATCATTTCATATTGTCACATGTACATATACATGTCACACTTTTGTCACTTGTAGACTTACTCAGTGTGAAGAGGAAGCACAACAAGAGTACTGTTACTTCAATATAAATATTAGTGAAATAGGAGTAAAAGCATGCTGCTAGAAAAGTACTCGACAAGTCTATGATGCACCTCTGAAAAACATGGAAGAAAAAAGTCTCTCAAGATAATTTTTCACATGTGCTATTTGTCGCAAAGACTAAATTGCCACAAGATCGTGTATGACTGAACATATGATTGCAAATCTTTGATAAGTGTATGTTTATTAAAGAGGGCGTAACTGATATAAAAGATTGGATTTGAGATTTTTAAGTTCAAGCAAGACTCAGGTGGACTTTCTGAGGGTCTGGCTGTGACCAGAAATAGAATTTAGGGCAGGACTCAACAAATGTTGAATGTTGAACCAATTCAGTATAATCAATTATCTAAATGAGTTCATTAATAAAGAATTGATTAAACAATGTTCATTGACCCATATCTGGAAATAACATTGACCAAGTTAAACAGACAGCATTTGGATATGAAATATGCTTATGAGAGTACTACTCTATACCAGAGTCTAAAGATTGGAGTCTAGATAAAACTAAGATGTTTGTGTAATCCTTCAGTTGTCCAGGTGGATCCACAGTCAGTAGACAAAACCAAAATACACAACTCTCCAGTTTCATCCAGAATTTCATTTCTCCTTTAAGAGTTTAAGACTTAAGAGTAATCTAAAGCTATGTGTTGGGTCTAAACTAATACATTAAACCATCTGTGATACAGGAATATTTTAAGTTGGAGAAATGTGAAAGCTTTGC